GGGATATGTATTGCACAAATTACAAGAGATAAATTTTATGTCCTGTTTCAGATTTCTTATTAATTTCCAACTTAACAGCACATGGTGAGTCCCCATCACAGGGCCTGGGTTCTTAGAAACTTGCTGACAATTGCTTGGAGCCCAGAACTTGGCCTGTCAAGCTTCAGTTTATTTTTGTTAGATGGACGCTGTGGTGAACAGAGAGGTTGGATCAGCTTAGTGATTCCTAAACTGGCTGCAGGTAAGAGTCACCCAGGGAGGGTGTTCAGAGGGGTACCCTGGCCCCCCCACCTCAGAGATTGTAGGTCTGTAGGGCTGGGGTAGGTCCTGGACATTGTTTAACATGCTTTCTAGATGATTCTCAGGCAGTCAGCTGAGCACTGGAAATTGTTGAACTGGTGCTGCATTTTATTTTATTTTATTTTAATTTTTTTTAAAGATTTTATTTATTTATTTGAGAGAGAGAGACTGAGAGAGAGAGCACATGAGAGGGGGGAGGGTCAGAGGGCGAAGCAGAACTCCCTGCCGAGCAGGGAGCCCGATGCAGGACTCGATCCAGAGACTCCAGGATCATGACCTGAGCCAAAGGCAGTCGCTTAACCAACTGAGCCACCCAGGTGCCCTGGTGCTGCATTTTAATACTTTGGAACTGTGGGCTCTGCTCTATTAGAGCAGGGGTTGGGCTACTGTCGGTTTCTATAAGTAACATTTTATTGGAACACAGCCATGCTAATCATTTATGCTTTCCCGCTGCAGGGACACAGACTCGAGTGCACCTGACAGAGGCCACATGGCTCACAAAGTGAAAAATACTTACTGTTTGACGCTTTACAGAAGTTTGCTTACCCTTTCATTAACGGGCTCCAACATCATTTCAATAGGTGGCGAACAGTATTTTAAAAAACAAAACAAAATATTAAAGTACATTGCATGTAAGTAAGTGCTGTTATGTTAAATCTGCTAATGTATATACATATGTTTACATGTATATGTTAGGTGTATACGTGTGTGTGTTTACAGATATTTATGCGTAACGGGGAATATGTATTTCTTACTGTGGGTAGCAGCCAAAAAATTTTGAAAAAAATTAAACGGTATTATCTGAGGTTGCTTTCATTTGTGGACTTTCTCTCCGTTTCCACGGCAACATGTGGGTGGGAGGGAGGTCTGGGTGGGACAGGAGATATGCAGCGAACATGCTTTACCTGACTTACTCGGCTTCTTGGGGCTGCTTCTTACTTGGTAAGTCAGTGTCACTCCTTTAAGGAAGGGTAATGCTCAATGTCCATATTTGTCCAAAATGTCATTGCTAGAAGGAGAACCAACTGGAGTTGTGTGCAGCGTGTGAGGACATTCAAATGGAGTGAATACTAAATTGATGGGGTTGTTATGAGGAGTAAATGTACATAGAGCCCCTGAAACCAGGAGGTACTATACAGTGCTAGGAGGCTAGTGTTTTTTATCTGCAGCCTCTCATTCCTGTGGTTGGTACCCACATCCCAGCCATAGGACGAGCTCCTGCACGTCCCCAACCACAGCACTGATGTCCCCATTTTGTGAAATGTATCAGTGGTGGCGTAAGGACCGAGGGAGACACACACCAGGGCCAGCGCTAGGGAAGGAAATGTGGGATTCAAATTCTTGGACTACTGGGACAACTCTTATTTCTAAAATTAATAATAATAGTACAGAAAAATATACTGTGTTTAGATTTCCTGGTGAAAATTAGAAAAATGTCTAATTTGCTAGCACTATGCTATGGTCTGAATGTTTGTGGAAATCCTAACCCCCAATGGTATTAGGTGGTGGGGGACTTTTGGAGGTGACTAGGTCATGAGAGAACAGCCCTCATGGATGGGATTAGTGCTCTTATAAGAGACACCAGAGAGCTCTCTGGTCCTTCCTGCCAAGTGAGGACACAGAAGGTGGTCGTCTATGGCCAGAAAGTGGGCTTTCACCAGACGCCGAATTTCCCAGTGCCCAGTCCCGATCTTGGGACTTCCTGATCTCCAGAACAGTAAGAAATAAATGTCTGTTGTTTACAATCCATGCATCCTGTTATAGCAGCCCAAAGGGACTCAGACGGACTATAAACCGTTGGCTGCCAAGATTAGGAAATGGACTTTCTGATGAATCAAGAAGTATAGTTATGTATAACACATTACTTCTTTGAAAAGAATTAGTACAAAGTAAAATATAATTTGCATTTTAAAGTGAAAGTAATATGATGATTCAGAAAACCCTTCCGCATCAAGCTATGCCTCAGGGTCACCATGGAGATGCATACAATTTTGGTTGCTTTGAAGGGGCTGCTAGATGACAAGCTTTTGCAGAGTTTAAACTCTGGTTCCTTTGTTTCCTAATTTGGTTAGGACCCTGTATATTTTTCCTTTATGTACAATTAATTGCAGGACTGAAAGGGACCCCAAGGTGTTCTGGTCTTCTGATCTGATGTTTGAATTACTTCTGAGTCAGTCAACAAATAGATACTGTGCACATACCATGTGCTGAGGACTATTCCATACACTGGGTCACACTAATGAAAAAATTTTCTTCCTAAGTGGAGTTCACATTCTCGCAGCCTGTGTTTGAACTCTTCCCTCAAAAGGGAACACATTCTGTGAGACAGCTCAGTGCATCTCTAGACATTGCAGTTTTTCTTGTCAATCTCGCTTCTCTCATTTAGGACGAATGCAAACCCAATCTTTCTTGACAGTCCTTCAAAGATTTGAAGACAGTTCTTACCTCCAACCTCATATCCTCCTACATCTACCCCCACTCCTCACCCCTGAATTTTCTCTTTTTCAAACTAAGAATCCTCCAGCTTCTTGCCCCACTTTTCACCGAATGTGATTTTTTTTTTTTAAGATTTTATCAATTCATTTGAGAGAGAGTGAGCAAGAGAGAGAGCATGAGCAGGAGGAGGGGCAGAGGAAGAAGGAGAAGCAGGCTCCCCACTGAGGGAAGCCCCATGTGGGACTCGATCCTGGGACTCAGGGATCATAACCTGAGCCGAGGGCAGATGCTTAACCCACTGAGCCATCCAGGCATCCCACGAGTGTTGTTCTTAAAGAAGAGTGCTTTATTAGCTTTAGTGGCCACTTACTAGATTGTGAGCGCTCAGCTCCAAATATACCCTTTGTTGCTATGCCCTGTGGGTGTTTTAAAAAAGAAAACAAAATTATTAAAGTACATTGCATGTAAATAAGTGCTGTTACGTTAAATCTGCTAATGTATATACATATGTTTATATGTGTATGTTAGGTGTATATATATGTGTGTGTATGTTTACAAATATTTATGCATAGTGGGGAATATGTATTTCCCCATACCCCATGGGTTTGCGGCCCCACAACGCAAATGGCACTCCACATTTGTCAGCTGGCTTCCTACCCATTCTGCCAATGGGGGCCCAAGCAGGAAACAGAAGGCAGGAGGAAGGACTCACTCTTCTTGTTTTACTCATCGTTGCTGCCGATGTGGCCTGGATGCCAGCTGTCTCCATGGCAGAGGCGGCCGGTCCTTTTCTCCAGCTTCTTCTTCTGGCACTCGCAGACCCGGCCCCACCGAACCCATCTTCGAGAGGCACCATCTGATGGACAGTGCTCCCTCCTCCGAGGTCTGAGTCCCACACCCCGGGCCTCTATTCGGAGTTCCTGAGGATCTTTTAGGACACCTTCGTCGTCTCTTGTGGCTTCAGCCCACCTGACGAGGGCTCCCAGATCTGTATTTCCTTCCCATACCTCTCTCCAATATTGTCATGTATCTTAGTAGACATCCTCCAGTCATCTCAAACCCATGATGTCTCAATCTGAATTTGACCTCGGAGCTTTCCCTTCCAGTTGGTAGAAACGTGGGTTCCTTCCGTCTCCCTCCTTCATCCACAGCCAGTCTCCCAAGGCAGGCCGTTTACACATTAGTATTTCTCAGATCTGTTCCCTCCTTTCCGGCTCCACGAAAACCGCCCTAAAGAAGTCCCTCACCACCTCTTGCCTAGGCCTTTCCTACAACCTCAAGCTGATCTCCTTTCTCAGCCCTTGGCAAGTCAATCCCACCCACAGAGGGTGCTGATCTGTCCAGGGCTCAAATCCAATAGCATTGTTCCTCCCCCTCACTGCTCAAGTTCCATCTTGTCCTTTGCTGTACCACCTTTATGCTTCAGCAACACCCAGCTGCACCTGCCATGTCATTTTGCTGTCCCCCCTTGATTGTCACCTCTGCCTTCCTTACACACATACTTTGCTGACTGCTTTAAAACCCAACTCAATGTCCCCAATTCGGGAAAGTGCCCGGAAACCTCCGCTACACATTCCTTTCCTCTATGCTCCCCACATACTTGGTGGTGTATTTTTTGTTTTATCAGTGCACATCACTCTGTTACAATAATCTTTCTTCCTCACTAGTCAGAGATCATTACTGCTGGAGACAACACCTGCCATGCATTTGGTTAACAAGTGCTTATTGGTGAGCTTCAAGGTCTCATGTGCTATAGGGGTAAATTAAATTACGTTTTATCATTAAGAATTCCCCCACCACATGGATATTACTCAGCAACAAAAGAACTGAACTATCGTTCCATGCAAAAATTTGGATGAATCTCCAGGGAACTAGGCTGAGTGAAAAAAAAAAGTCATATACTGTATGATTCCATTAGTATAAAATGACAAGTGCAGAGAGATGAATGGTTGCTAGGGTTAAGGAGAGGACAGAGGCAGCAGGGAAGTAGGTGTGGCTATAAAGGGCAACCCAAGGGATCCTTGTGTGGCTTTGGAGTGAGAGAACTGTCCAGCATCTGGACTCTGTCAATGTCAACATCCTGGTTGTGATATTGTACTATCGGTTTGCCGGATGTTACCATGGGGAGGAAATGGGTAAAAGGGACACATGAGTTCTCTCTGTATTTTTTCATACAACTGTATGTGAATCTACAACGATCTCAAAATAAAAAGTTTAATTAAAAAAATAAGATTTCCCACCACAAAGAAAGTAGGCTTCACACATTTTCCAAATGCATTCTTTTTATTTGAGAAGGACGATCTCAAGGCAGTGCCCTTTGGGAAAGGCACCTCTCATCATCATGTACATCGAGATCAACCATTACTCTCAGCAAAGTACAAAAATACACACATCAGTGACTTCCGTACAATAAATACATAATCATGCATCCCACAATAAAAGGCACGGAAAACTGGTCACTTAGTAGTCATAAAAATTACTAGCTACATTAACAAAGCCACCCAAATTATCTGTATAAGTAACTGTAACAATATATTCCAAAGGTGAAAACACATAAAACATCTTTAAAATAGTATGCAATAAATATCTCAGTTGTATATATTTAAAAAATTATGCCATTGTAAACAGCATGTAAACAAACAAAACACATTTTCTTACCATTATTAAAAGTAATTAGAGCCAAAGTTATAACCTCTGCTCTGTCAGGTATATTTCACTGGCAAGTGTGCTAAGCAGTTAAAAGTTTCACTCTTTTCTGCAGCAAACAGAGCCCATTGTGTAATAAATAGACATGATCTGCATCTTTCCGATACAAGTAAAAGTTTCAAAACAGACTACCAAAATGTAGTAAATTCTTAACTATAAATAATATGGCAAAAGGCTAGGTTAAAACTATCTTGAAATGTAAGGGACAAAAGGAGCTATTATGTGAGGTTTTCAACATGATGTAAGTAGGGAGGCAAATAATTATTAATTATCTTCATTGAAAGGTGAGATAAGTGCCCAGTCTTCTGAGCCTCTTTCTTTTGTGGACCTTTTACAATATGGGGAACAAAGAGTAAAGTTGTATCAAAATAAGAATTTCCTTTTGCTAGAGAACAAATAAATGGTTGATACTTTATACTGATGGGCAAGAATGACTTCAAAATAGACCTATCAAAATGTAAATATACATACAAGTAAGGTTTTTTTTCCATACTTACTGACAATAAAGATAATTTTTTCCTTCCCGTAAGGGCACCCTATTGCCTAACCATCAATAAATATTCAGAGCAGTTAATTTCTTTATAACTCAAATGTTTTTGTTTTCTTTCATCTATATCAGTGCACCGGGGCATACAAATACTAGTAGTATATTTACTATATGCTCAGATAAGTGTGCTACCATTAAATATTATTACTCCCTACTCCCCATGAAAAATAATCGAGGAGGAAATACCAACCCATAACTTCAAACGGAGTCTCTGAAGTATATCAGAAAGCATAACTTTATAATTTTTTCCCTCTGCTGTGGGTTTAAAATGCATACTTCATATGTTTTGCTGTATGTGGCATTAATAGGGATATATGCCTTCCTAAAATGGACTTGAAATGTAACCCTTGTTTGACAAATCTATTAGTCTCTTGGACCACACATAGCACATATGGTTGTGGAAATGGGGTTCTACAGATTGATGAAAGATGTACTCAACAAGTGATGGTCAAACATTATTTGTGGTTGTATAAAAACTGGACATAAAAATGGGAATAATTCTTTATGACCTAGAATTTGATTAATTTTGGGGGTGGAACAAGACTGCTCTGAAATCACCTGAGAAATATTTGGTTTAAAACCTGTCCACCTAATTTCTTAAGCTGTAGAAAATAATTCTGAAGACAAACTATTTTATTGTATTCCCAGCATCTAATTGTCAAGTATAAAGCAGGTAGAAAAAGGTCTCTCAAGTGAGAAAAGGAAGAGGGCATTTAATTTAGTGACATGCATTTTTTATTACTATTTAATTTTAGAAATTATTAACTATGAAGAACTTTTTGTGTTGACCTTTATCATGATTTGGGAACATGGTAGGAAGGTTTTATAGACTCATAAAAGAAAAACAAACTGTTAGGTATTAGATTTTAGTCTTTATGTTCTATAAGGGGTGATAACAGTAGAGAAAAGCTGTCTTACATTTGCATTTTTAAAACATGAAATAATCATTAGCTACAAATGACCTGAAATCACACAAATTCAGTCTATATCTCTGGCTATTACTTTTGAGAAAATTTCACCTTCACTATTGGTTTTGAGTCTTTCTTAAATCTTATTTTGTGTAGGTGATCAATGTATGTGTTTTAAATAATTGTATACACTGAATGTGTCTTCAAAGGAGAAAGGTAATCTTTAGGGCATATTTGTGAATTATAAACAAGAATTTGACATGTGAAAATTTTGTAAGCCTCATTTTTAAGAAACAAGAATTCAGATTTGGTAAATATTTCCGATTTAAAGCTAACAAATGACTATCCTTTTCCAAACAATCTCTCTCCCTTGATGTTCATCCTCTGGTGGCTTGCCCAGAGTGCATGCGTGCTTACCTGCTCATGAAGACACACACCCCTCGTGTGACTCACAGGAGTCTAAGCTTGCATTTGTGAAGGTATAAAAATATAAAGAAGTTCGGGTGGTCTATTACCTTCAGTCCTTCAAAAACATTTATTGAAGTCCTATTATGTGCTAACCCCACACTGAGACTACAAAGATAGAGAAATTCAGAGGGTGGGGGGAAAAGGCAGACATATATATATTATTGAAATACGATGTTATTTTAACAGAGAAAGTTTCAAGATGCTATGGAGCATGGACGGAATACTAAACTCTGGCTGGGAAAGTCAGGTAGAGCTTCACAGAAAGTTAAATCTGAACTGAGTTTTGAAAGCGTAGATCTCTGGCAAGTGATTATGCCAAGGCAATGAATTGGGACTAGCTCCAAATTCCTGAATTACAAAAGGTCTCTAGAGGAAATGGCGGCTGAGCATGCTAAAAAGGGGGGGATGAGGCCAAGCCAGTAAGCCCCTCATCTGTCACGCTAAGGAGTTAGGTTGCTCCACAAAAAGGAGAACCTATGTAAGGATTTTTAGCAAAGGAATGACAACGCAAACGTGTGTTTTAGAAAGACCACTCCGTCGACCTCGTGGAAGATGAACTAGAGGTAGGAGGGAATGTTTGCAGGAAAACTGGTTGCAGAAAAACTGTGGCAAAAGCACAGGAGAGAAAGATCACGAAGGGCTGTACTGATAGAGGGCTGACTAAGGCAAGGGGACCATTGGTTTACTTACAATTAGAAATAGAACATAAAATGCCAATTCAACTTTTGAGATGGACAAAAAATGAAGTACGCAACTGCATAAACACTGAGAAAACTTTAATATAAAAAAATGCTTTTGCGGGGCGCCTGGGTGGCTCAGTTGGTTAAGCGACTGCCTTCAGCTCAGGTCATGATCCTCGAGTCCCAGGATCGAGTCCCAGGATCGAGTCCCGCATCGGGCTCCCTGCTCAGCAGGGAGTCTGCTTCTCCCTCTGACCCTCCTCCCTCTCATGCTCTCTGTCTCTCATTCTCTTTCTCTCAAATAAATAAATAAAATCTTAAAAAAAAAAAATGCTTTTGCTTATACAATCCAAAACCAAGATTGGGGTTAAGCAATGGTTTTGTTCCATATTTTAGTTTATGAGTTTGGCAGAGGCACATAATCACATCATGTGCTATGAAAACTGTGTCATCTCTCAAAAGCTTTCTGATAGCTTTTCCAAGTAAAAGGAGGTGAGGAAACAAAAGAGCTGCTCAAGTTTAAAATTCTTCCATCCTCATCATCATGTATACTAAAAAGCTGATACCCAACTGAGATTTGTAAACCCCGTAGGTTCCAATAAAAGTTATAACTACTTGAATTATACTAGGGTCATTTGTATGTCAGGTCATCATGAAAAGTAAATACCCAGAAAAATAATTTCTTCCTGGCACTGTACCAAATCATTCTGGAACCACCATTTAGAGACCTGTCTTCTTGAAAACTAGGTTGTATCATTAAGACACATCAAAATCCCATGCAGACGAGTTCTGATTCGGGCTTTTCCCTCTATCCTGCAGCTTACACTCTCTCATCATTTCAACATTTTTAGGGGGAGGGGATGTAACAGGAGCTCCAAGTTATCATAGTATGCCATAATAAATACCAGGTTTAGGAATAAAATTTTTAAGTATCAGTCAGCGACTGAATTCAAATGTCAGGTAAAAATAAAAGTCAGTATTCACTTACCCTCACCTATATTTAATGATTTTAACAAGGCTATTCTAATTTTTCCCCTTTAACTGTACTCAGATTTCCATTGTGGTAACAATGAAAACAACCTCTTGTTTCTTTACAGGAAGTTGCGAAGGTACTTTGCATGAGGGAGCACCATTCCACAGCCAGAGAATGTAAGCTAGAGATCCAGCTTCAGATTAAACAGCAGGGGAAACATTCAGAATTCACTTAGTATAGGGAAGTGACATCACAGGATAAAACAAGTTAAGAAAGTCCCATATTCATTTTTGTAACCACTGATTTAAGGAGACATTTTCCTCTTTGGGGTGTTTATCTAAGAAAAGACATGAAGATCTGAATTTAAAAAAAAATGTATCTATATGCTACTATAAAATGGTTGGTTGGGGTGAGTGTAGAAAAAACAAAATTACTCTAAATTTCTGAAGATTTTAGAAGTGGGAGTGAATGAATAATATGAACCTGTAGTACACAGATGAAAATTCCCATAACCTACTCTGGTGCAGAGAGTATTAATGTAACCTCACTCTCCTTTCAAACTGAACATCAGGGATATTAGTTTGGACTTTCAGTTTTCGTACTATAATTTTGGAAGTCTTTCTTTGTCTATCAAACGACAGCGGGAAAGAATTGGTAAATTTAAGTATGATTCACACTTACATAATTTCTGCTGTAAAAGAGAAATTACCAAGTCCTTAGAATTGATAATATTGTGTGCCATTTCTAATCGGGATAGTTGAAACACCAACACATGCACAGTTTGTAGAAAAGACATAGTGAGCCAGTGCCAGAGTCAGTTACAGAAACAAATAAATCTAAACCATATTTCCAACTCCAGAATCATGTAATTCAGCTATTTACGATATTGTAAATTTTGACAATCTTTCATTGTTTCAAACGAAAGGAAAATCTATCACTGCTAACAAATCTCAAGGCTTAGCAAGTTCATGAGAATCTCTTCAGTCTGCATGGTACCGTCCGATCCACATTTACAAATATTCTTCTACAGGAACTAGCTAAATCCTGACTCGGTCTTCCTCTGTCAATCACGAAGTTGACAAAGCACAGACATTTTCGTCATGTGATAAACACAAACGATGAGGTTATCCAAACTACCTGCTTCACTGACTTCTAAACTGCAACGGTAGAATGAGCTCCCTGAATTCATTGGCTATTTTGATACCACATGGATCCAGTCTCAGACTTGACCAGTGTGACTTTCTTGGTTTTTGTGGTATTGTGCCTACCATCCATCTCACACATGTTTGGCGTTTCTATAATATAAGGTGGAAGATATCTATGTTCATACTATTCATTTCTAAATCTTTGCCAAATTACCAGCTTGAGCTCCCTTTTCTTTATAATGTTTCCATATTTCAAAATAATGTTTATCATATATTTTTCTTGCCTTCAATAATTGCTTGTGCAACAGTAAAATTAACACAAAACTCTCTTTAAAGTTATAGTAAATTAATTCTTAATCTCCTACTATAGTTCTTAAACAGTTCACAATTCACCTATTGTTCACACTGTAAAACAATAAGATGGTTGAATTTAGGGCTTATTAAATTGGGTTCTTTGGTGTACAACATTGCCTCACATTAAGTCAGGACATTTTTTTTTCTTCCTCAAAAACATGTAATTCTATTCTCTGTGGTAGGTCATGCCATTATGTTTCAAATTTCTATTTTTTTTTTTTAAGAGTTGAACAAAGAATACTTTTTTAAACAAAAGTAACTCAAAACTCGATTAAAATCCCACTGACTTAATTGACAGAAACAAATAAAGCATTATCCATCAAGGTTACTATTTGTAAAGTAGGCCAGTCAAATATGCGTTAAAAATACACACCCTGGAATCTAAAGCTGGCCCCTAGAAGTCGGTGATATTTTTTGGGTTCAAGAATCTCAGTGGTCAGTTGAGTGTTATACAATGGCATACAATTGCTGAGATCTCTTTTACAAGAAAAACAAAGTTTATCATAGAAAAGAAGTTCTGACTTGAAGATAAAATATATATTGAGAAAATACAGCACAGTGAATCCCTTGGTTACATTAAATTCTTAATATTGGTGATTTCATTTTGGCTTTATGCCTTTTTCCATATTTATTTTAAATATGCAAGTTATTTTTTAACAAATCCCTATTACTATTTAGTTATCAATGATGGTAAAAAAGATACCATTTTTTTTAACAAGGAAAAAATTGGGCATCTGTTTGACAGAAATGAGTACTTCAAGTACGTAAGTAAATCATTAACAGACCTATTACACTCTAAGCAACAGCAGTAAAAAGAGCTAGAATATGCATTTTGTATAAAGATTAAATTTCACAACATAATAAATAAATGCACTGATTTATACAACTTGAGAAAACCTTCTACTGATGATCACAAGTAATACTGTCTTATCACTGACTTTGTTAATATCAGCACTGCCTCACATAGAGATTCAAAGGTAAAATTCTTGCCCCCAAAGCCACAAAATATACAAAGCTGGTTTGTTATTAAATATTTTGTCTGCCAAAATTCCTGCAAACTAAAATACATCTTGGCAGTTTGAATAACCAGCATGATAATTATTTTGGTATCAAAAGATAAGAAAAATTTTAATATGAAAATTAATAAAACCAGTAAAAGGAGAAACCTGTTGTATAAATAGACATTTTAACATAAAAGTGAGACTTTTATCTCACTTGAGAGGAAGAAACAAATTCCATACAACTTACTTGAAGATCTGAAAATAATTATCATATTTCCCCAGCTCTAGATAAATATATTACTCCAATTTATTAGTCATCTTCAATATACAATATATAACTCACAAAACTGGGACGGTTACAATACCAAAATCTTTCACAGCACTAGTTACCAGTTACCAGAACTGTAAGAAATCTTTAGCTACATATCAGCTTAATACTTAGAATATACAAATAGATATGGCTAAGCTGTGGTAAACAATAGTGCAAACAGTAAGGACCACAAAATATATTCTTTTTTCTTTTCAGCTTGTTTATCTAACTGCGTTATCCTACTTCACTGGCATCATCAACTGAATATGGAACTTATCTTAATGCATTTTAAAAGTATCCCTATGTTCTTTTAGGTATGGTAAATTTACTCTTGAAATGCAGTTCCTATGAAATACCCAGACTATTTATAAAGTCCTACGCAATGAATAACTTGTAGCTAAAATGAAATGTTTTATGTGAACTTTTCTAGCTTTTAAGTAGTGGCTTGGTTTCTGTTTTTCCAACTTAAGCTTGGATGTGCATCAAAAATTACGAGAGAAGATATAAATATGTGTAAATAGAATATCTTAGTTATATAAGGGGAATCAGTATGTTCATCTACAGTAGTAATATGGGTTTTTATCTTAAACATTGTTACTGAGTTTAGTGCAGTTTCAGTTACTGTTAAACTTATTTTCCTGAAAATAACGGAAAGAAGTATACAAATAGGTACAGTCCAGCTGTCTTTTATCTCTCTGTTCTCTGTAATGATAAACCTTTATAGTTTTTTCTGCTAACAGACATGTCTCTAAATGAAATTTGGAGACATTAATAAAAAGAAGCAATAATAAAGGTAAAGAATGCTTTGGGTATTAAAAAACTAATAATCATTGCCTTTTTAAAGTTTTGGTTGTTTCTTTAGGAAAGCATCCTACTGCAAAGGCATCATATTACCATCTGACACAGAGATCACTATACAAAAGTCAAGGGGAGATGCCTAGCAGAGACAAACAAGTCCCAGGCCCCATGGCTCTCGGCAAGGGCAAGCCAGAGAGGGAGACACATGGCTGCCAAGCACCATGAGAACCGCCAGGGAGGTTATTCCATTGACCAATAGTTAGTATTTGAAGAATCTTCACTGTTCACTCTTTCCAACTGATTTTAAAAACTTGGTGTTTTAAAACTGCCACTTGTATTATTATCATACTCTGAACCCATTGTTTTACCCAACTTGCATCTGAAAAATGCAGGATGAGTTCATTCTGTGGGGAGAGGGCAGGAGAGATCCTAAACGTCAGGCTGAGAGATGTAGTGTTTATGGAGCTTAGTGAAAAACTATATCCTTGAAGAATTCGCATCTGTATAACATGAAAGTCCATTGTGTTGGACTAAATAGATGATTTACTTCAGAAATGATGTGTATAGAGGTTTCCACTGTAATTTTCTAAGTCATAGCTTTGCATAAATATTTTCTTTCTCAAATCCTGTTAAAAATAACTTCTCTTAGGACTAAAATAGTGCCCTCTTTATTCCTTAAAATTAGCTAAAGAATCTCTAGGCAGTAATGTCTTGGTAAATGATATCAGTATGTAAAAATGATTAAGTATTGACAATAAATCATTGGGAAAGATCATATTATAGAATTAAATAATTTGTATTTTAAGGATCAAAAATATACTTTGCAGGCACTACTTTAAGCAATTATTAAGTCTCTGAAAAATCAAGATAAGTTGGCATAATAAGAAAAACAAAGTCCAGCAAAACATGCCTTCTTTGAGGGCTTTAATGACACATTCAGTTTACTTGGAGTCATTTGCTTCTTTCTTTTTTTCCCCATGCCTAGCAATTCATTTCACGTGCGTGTGCTGTTTGTATCCTCAAGTTTGAACTATGTCAACAAGATAATCTAGTGATAAGAGAAAGTGAAATGTACAAGTTGTAGGAGACTGACCCGGTCTTTACTTATCTCAGTACATATTCTTCTGAAATGTTCCCTGTGACTTAAGTTGTGAACAAATAAGAATGCCACGTGAGCAAGAAACTGAGCAAATGTGGATTGTTAGTGACTTAGATGTGAGGTGGGGAGCTGGAGAAAGGCCAGCTATGTTGGTCAGCCAATTTCCTGTTTTATCTTAGCTACCAAAATATACCCCTGAGTAGGCAGGGTTTATCTAGATCCAGAATCAGGAATAAGCATTGAGAAGAAAACTCAGTGAGGATGGTGAGTGAGTTAAAGCTCATTTCTGGGATTTCTAGGAAGTAGTGGGTTGGGGAATGAGCTATTCTGAGGGCTTTTTGAAGAACTTGAATCCCTAATAGCTGGGAGGGATAAAATGTGGCTAGGCCAGTGCTGATCACTGACAAATCTTGCTTAAAAGGAAGATTGAGATTTGATAGGTCTGGAGTGGACCTGAGATTCTGCATTTCTATAAGCTCCCAGATGTCATGGATGCTGCTGGTCCATGGACCACATTTGAGTATTGAGGATCTAGACCAGTGCTGTCCAGTAGAATTTTTGCAATGATGGAAATGTTCAACATCTGTACCATCTGCTATAGTTACTGAGCACTTGAAATGTGGCTAGTGCACTTGAGAAACTTTCTAATTTAATCAATGTAAATTTAAATAGCCACATGTGGCTAGTCCCTACAATATTGGACAGCATGGGTCTAGACATTCACAGGTCATCTCTTCTCAGCCAGAGCAATCTATATCACAGTCCCCAAAGTATCTAACCCACCAATGTATTTAGATTAGCAGATTTCCTTTTATACAATGCAAACTGTAAAATTAGTTTTGTTTTTTTTTTAAATTTATTTATTTATTTGACAGAGAGGGACACAGAGAGAGAGGGAACACAAGCAGGGGGAGAGGGAGAGGGAGAAGCCAGCTTCCCGCCGAGCAGGGAGCCCGATGTGGGACGCGATCCCAGGACCCTGGGACCATGACCCGAGCCGAAGGCAGACGCCCAACGACTGAGCCACCCAGGCGCCCCTAAAATTAGTTTCTTTAAATTGTTTTCTTCCTAACACTTTGCTTAGATGACCCATAATGGGCACTTAAGTAGGGAGAGGTGAAAGGAGTCCTTTTGCAGAGATAGGGTCACACATGGCAGTGAGGATTTGAGCAACCATCACGGTATTGGGCATGTGGGAGATGGGAAGCCAGGAGGCCGGAAGGGAACTCACAAAGGGAGGTGGGATAATACTGAAGGGAAAAATGGAATACTTTAAAATTTTACTTAGGTCTGACCCTGTCCCCTTCCTCCTTGAAACACAAGTTCTGGGGCACCTGGCTGGCTCAGTTAGCAGAGCATGGGACTCTTGGTCTTGGGGTTGTGAGTTCAAGCCCCACGTTAGGTGTGGACATTACTTAAAAATAAAATCTTAGGAGTGCCTGGGTGGCTCAGTGGTTAAGCGTCTGCTCAGGTCGTGATCCCAGGGTCCTGGGATCGAGTCCCGCATCAGGCTCCCTGCTCAGCGGGAAGCCGGCTTCTCCCTCTCCCACTCCCCCTGCTTGTGTTCCCTCTCTTGCTGTGTCTCTCTCTGTCAAATGAATAAGTAAAATCTTTAAAAGAAAATTCTTAAAAAATATATATATATATATATACATATATATATATATATATATATATATATATATATATATATATATATATATATACATAAAACAAATTCTTCCTCAGGAGAATAAGACTGTAGGGGAATGGATGTTGGCTGGGCTCTGATTCCCCTTCACCCCTCCCAAATTATCCAGGTGTGGGAAAGCCTAGCGGCAGGACGGTGCAATTAAAGCTGGCAATCCGGAGCAGGTTTAAGCTTCTCACCTCAGTTCAGGAATGGATCAAGGTACAAAGGCCCCACCTGCACTCCCCTGAGCTGTGATCAGATTCCAGAGAGCAGCTCTTCCTACTTTTTATTCGAGGCCCCATCAACTCTAAGAAGCTGCTCCTCTGTGACGCTGACAGGCACCTGAGGAGGCTCTGAGGACACCATCTTGGCAAACAGATGTGAGTAAGGTTATCTGGGTCCACACCAGCCACGCACAGACAAAGCATATAGGAAAAATTGCTCTTATTTAACAACGACAAAAAAGAGAGCAAAATTGTCATTTTAAAGGATTTCCCTCATTCAAAAGCCATCTGCAAGAAAATGCTAGTTAACCAAAGAGTCCATTAATGGAGGTTTTACAGCATAGATAAGAGTTATTACCTAGGAGTAAAAAGACCAACATCAAACAAAAAATTTAATCATTTACATCTTACTCTCAAATTCTGAACATGTAATAGCTTAGACCTTTTCTAGTGGCAAAGGGGTATTTTGGGCGAACGGAAATCAATAAAGATTTTTATATTAGCTAATTCTTCTCTAGAGTTCCTTGCCTCTTTGCCCCTACCTTTCTTTTTTTGGCCGAGCTGGTCAGGGATCTGTGATCTCACAGCTGAGTTCCAAAGAGAGGCTGGCATCTCTTTTTTAATTCTATAGGGAAATGCCTGGAAAAGCAGGACCCCTTGCAGGGGATGGGGAGGTGGGGACTATAAAGGGACTGGAAAAGAAGCCCTTTGATTTCATAAGTGTAGGTAACATTCCAATATGAAGTGAGTAGCTTTTGACTCTTTCACACTACTTGATATAATTCCCTTTGGAAAATTTCTATTTATTCACAACTTAGACAGGTAAAATATATAGTCAGACACATTTGGTCAGGAACTCATCAGGCTCATTTATTTTTAAGATATCCAAATTTTGTGATTTTTTTTCCTAGTAGTTAAATACCCAATTTATGAATAAGAATAAAGTGTCAAATATTTAAACTCCTTTGCTATAATTAAATTATATGTCTGACAATGTTCATTTTAAATGCTTTCCCACTAATATTTCTCATTAAGCATTTGGCAAATAATTGTCTAGAAAATATCAATGAGAGTGTATTTCAAGATTATGCATATGTAAGTGTGAATGTACATGTATGTGTATAGACACACACAAGTGTGTATGTGTACGTGTGTGTATGTGTATCTATTGAGCACCTACTTAGAAGGCTACTTCATGAAAATTGTCATCACTGGGTCAATACCCTGTTTTCTTCTCTTATAAAATAGATTTTTAAATATTATAATTAATTTTTGGTACATAATGTCTAAAGAAAGATTGTTTAAGGATATTTTTGTGACTTTTTAACACATGCCTTTGGCTTTCAAAGATTTGGTAATTGTAATGTTGACTCCTAATAAGCTTACACTGAAGTATAGTGGTTTAGAAAAAGGCAAATAATATCTACCTGATAAAAGAATTAAGTGAGATAATAATAATAATAATAATATTAATAATATAAAGCCCTTAAGAAAAAATTTAAAAATTTAAATTTCTTGTTGAGAAGTTGTGTCAGTAGTCACTCCAGCTCAGTGGGTAAGTCTGGGTGACCAATCACTATACAAATCCCAGTTGAGACCTTGGGGAAACTCAAGGATGAGTTGGATGTCAACAGCCCACTATATTATAAATGCAAACAGAGTATTAAATAAATACTAAACTAAAGCAAAAAAACCCCACAAAATGTGGGAATTTTGGTTTGGGAAGCTATAATAAGTTTTGTTCGGCAACAGAACATGTAATTTTATAAAAATATCCAGAGATTTTCTTAATGCTCATGTCTACTGTTGATGATATAGAGTGACATCAAATTGACTTGCATAAAATGTGTATCATTTGTTGATTATGGCACAGACATATGGTCACAAATTCTTAGATACAGCGTCTATCCAAAGTCCCACATCAAAGAACAGAAAAGTGCCTTGAACCAACAAAAGGATACTTCGGTAGTAATAAATTAAATTCCATTAAAACTGACATGAAAGCTAAGTTTTAAGAGATTACATGTGACATGCAAGAAAAAGAAAGACCATTCAGGCAGGAATGTCGTGCATTAAGATTTGCATTCATTCATAATATTTGAGGGGTTTCAACCATTTTCTATGACCACTGAATGCTAGGAATCTGAGGTGACACCCAATCTAACATTCAAAACACAACCTAATTTATATCTTAGTCTCCTAACCAGTGACTTTAAGGAAGAAGCCAATGCCTCCAGTAATGAAACCTAAGAAGTTTTAGCCACATATTGTTATGCAGTCACGTAGTAAGAACATTCCATCTGACCAGGTTTAAGGAAAGTCAAACATAAGTAAACATTTCCACCTTTCAGACAATGCAATTGTCTCGGATTCTTCCTACCTTCTTACTAATATGAGCATATTTGAACACGTCAAGTTTGCACAATAAGGAAATGGCTTTGTGGAATGTATTATTTGGCACAAAAATATTTTCTAATACCTCAAATGAAAATTTTCACCCACAGCAAAATATCAAGCCATAGAGGTGCTTCCCTGGTGCTTGCTTTTCTACGCAGAAAAGTACAGAAACAGACAATTGCTTCTAAGAGCTTTGCATTAAGTAGCATTTACTTCCTTTCCAAGGAATAGCACCAATATGATTACACCTCAGACTGGGGAGTGCTCCTTCCAAGCTCTTTAATTCCCTGGAGAATTCGCTTCATATGACCCACTTTCGTTATCCCCAGGTCCTAAAAAAAAAAAAAAGAAAGAAAGAAAAGAAAAGAAAAAGAAGAAAAGAAAAGGTAGGAAAAACAAGGAGAAGGAAAAGAAAGAAGTTTATTGACAAGAGAAAACTGGGGATTAATTATTTCACTAGCAAACAGTACAATTAGCATTCAGTTCATTTAGTTTAGTTTCTACTCAATGACTTAGGAAGCATAAGGTACGAAAATCAGTTTATAAACCGAAACTAACCTGACACTGAAACATTACCAACCAGTAAAAAAAAAAAAAAAAAAAAAAAAATCACATCCTATACAAACTCTTAAATGTGACATTCTCAGAAATTATACACAATGGCGGTTCTTCAAGAGTTAAAATCTCCTTTTTACTTCTGCTTCTTTTTTTAAAACACAGGTCCTTTTGGGATCGCTGAGAAAAGTGACATGAGACATCAGGGCAGCCGCAAGTGGCCTGAAGGCACTTCCGTCCTAAAATAGTAAACTTCAAAGTAAAGCCTAATCCTAATGACAGAGATCAGTGGCCACCAGCTAAATTTGGAATGTCAGTGCATTTTCGGTTACATTTAGAGTTTTCGATTTGAGCGGACTGTTTAAATATTTGTTCTCCTTGGTAAGGCAGAAGTATAAAAAATTACTTCAACCTAGCTCTCTGTGGGTTGATGCTTTTCCTCAGAACACTTGTGGCCTTTTCCCCTCAGAACCCTCCTTGTTTCTTACAGAACCATCTTCCTTTAAAGGGCCAAGAATTCAGTATTTAGCTTTCAGCATGGAGGAGGATTCCAGACTGTAGCGCGCACAGCAGGTACTCGGCAAATAAATCTTTGTGGCAGGAATGAAGGAGATGCATACAAGAAAGCCATGACATTCACTACTTGAAAAACTAAAAGAAAGGGTGAAGACCTCTGAACCCTATAATTTGTTTAAGTGTAATGGGCACTATCAATTGGCTAATACGTGACGTCAAACCAATTCTGCATAAAAAAGAGAGGGCTTGAAATATCTGAAAATTAGCAAAAAGATGGCTTCCAAAGCAGCCTCGAAAACAGGATTATAAGGTACCACAAAATTATGTGTCTGAGATGGTAAAGATTCCAAATGTCTGTTCCATTTCGTAAGCTAAGAGCATTATTTATTTTTAAGCTTTAAGTGAAATAGATCAGACGATTGTAAGCACATTCACACACACGTGCTCTCTCTTCCATATGCTCTACGGGCTCTCTGAATTCTATAGCAGCGATGCTACCCACAATTTTGAATCTTTCTGGAAAATACTCTTTCCACAGCAAGTTCTCTTGTCAAGCTTGAGATAATTTCTGGGTCACATTTTTACAATATGCAACGGACCCTGAAAAATATTTTCTCATAGGACACCAGGCTATTCATAACCAGTGTTAAGGCAACTATGTTTCCTGAGCGTATGCTCACATAGCAAACTTAAAAGCAAGGCCAAATCCTAAAGAAAGACAGTCCGCACCTGCTACCAAACTGCAAAATATAAATGCATTTACAGTTGCATTTAGATTCTTTGATTTGAGTGGGATATTTTAATATTCTTTCTGCTTTGTGATAACATAATTATCTGATTAAGAAACACACTTAATATTAAATATTTTATTTCAGGCCATACGCACGTTATATTTTCAAGAATAAAAACTTCTTTGGGAGAAGCAGACTCTACTCAGAATTACCATTTTGGTTGTAATGAGATGAATGTTTTCCACAGAATTACACTAACTTCTAGCTATATTTTCTCTGTCTTGAGCTCAATACCTTCATGTCTTCTAGGAGTTAGGCTGTGATAAAGTTATGCCATGACATCTGTTATATCGTTCTTAATTTATTTTTATCATATTCTTTATTATGGGCCTTTTCTTTCTTTGGATGAACAGGTCTAATTTTGCAGAGACATGCTTTGTAGATATTCAGTTATCTTTCATATGCAACTTTCCAAATGGAAAAAAAAAATTAAAAAAAACCCAACCACGCAAACAAAACCATTGCATCTTTGCCGCTGTCTTTTGATGTCCCTCACATTTGCCTATGGTCTTCCTGGAAGGAGAATAATGCAATCAGTTTATTTATTTCCTAAAGCACCTCAGAAATATTTTTCCTTTCCCACCTTAACACTGTCACATTGCTATCTCTAGTTGTCTTGCTGATAAGAAAGTAATACCTGAGCCAAGATCTGAGCAGGAGTAAGCCAGGTGCCGGGTCATGGGAGATATATACTGTAGGAGGGTGCACCTCTAAAGGTGAGGAAGAGTCTAGTATTTTTAAGCAAATGGACAATGGCCAGGGGGGATGGGGTACAGCCCAGCGAGGGGCCAGTGATTCCACAGAAGGTTCCATAAATGGGCAGGATCTTGTAGACCTCCCAAAGATGCGAGTCTATTCCAGTAAAATGGGAAGTAACTGAAAGGTGATCTATCTGATGTTAAGAGATCACTCTGGTTGCCGTGTGGGTAATGGGCTAGAGAGAGCAAGGGTAGCAGCAGAAAGGCCAGTTAGGAACTCTGGTTTCACACGGGCGAGCGGTGCCCTAGCATGCGGTAGGAGCGTGGAAAGCAGAAAGAGAAATGGATGGAGTTTAGAAACCTGGCTCGGTGATGGGCTTAATGAGTTAGGGGACCAGGATAAGGAAGAGGAAGGCGCTGAGTATGACCATGGGCTTCTCTGGCTTGAGTGCCTGGAAGGAGAGAGGGGTGATTTTACGAAGATATCCGCAGAACAGAGGTTTGGGTTTTGACATGTTAAGACTGACTCCCCCGTGTGATAGGCAACTATCAAGTAGAGTTGGTGATAAAATCCTAAAGCTCCCAAATGAGGTCAGGGCTGGAGGTACAAACCTGTGAACCACGGACATCTTCATGGACCGTATTTGCAGCAATGGGAATGGACAAGGTTACCCAGAGAATAGGCGATCCTTTAGCAACACTTAAAGACTTTATTCTGAAGAGTCTGCTCCCTCTTATAGCTACAACCAGAGATCAAGGGGAGCTCATTTGCTACCTTCACAGCTTTGTTCTATAGCAGGCTCTTTCCGAAAAATTATCTTCCTTTTTTCATTCCCCCACGCCCCGTTTTAGAATGAAAAGAGTTAAAAAGGACGATGTCAATGCAAATTTCTGAAAGAAAAGTTTTAAGGGAAAGGATGTCATTTGCATTAAAAATAAAAACAAAGGAGAACAAAAAGTCCCATGATAAAGCTAAAGAGAAAGTTTACGAAAATAATTCTTAACCATTTCCTTTTTACTCATACTCTTTCTTCTAGCCAAGTCCTATCACTCTAACTCTCCTATGTGTAGGAGCTTTGTTTTTCCATTCTGTAAATATTGGCTTTACCCATTGTGTATGTGTGTGTGTGTGTATTTGTATGTTTATGGTTGTGTGTACATATATAACATATACATATATAATTATATATACACACATATTCAGTCTTTTCCTTGAATTTATGCTTATTCATGGCAAATGAAATGTAAGCTCCTAGAGAGGCTGGCATAATATATCAATCAGTAGCTATTCAATAAATATTGCTGCCTGCCAAGGATATAAGAAGCTACATAAATATGTTGGATATAATGATCCCCTACATTTATTTTTTCGTGCACTCATTCCAAGTTTTGAAGTCAACCTTTACTCTAGGAACTCTAGCCCTGTATATTTTGCTATTTTCCAGATTTGGGACTCTCAACTGCGGTAATTAATTAATCTATTGTTTTATTATCCTGGTTAAAAATGTTTAGGTAGATGTGGTGTCCACTTTTAATGTGCTAAAACTGTATGACTCTGCTTTATAAAATCCTATATATTACTCACTAATTGTGCAAAGATCTCTGCTAACACATTTGTAGATAAAGGCACAGCAGTTCATGAATTTGTTAGGAATTCACTGTATCATAATTCTGTGCAATTCAGAACTTGGTCTACAGGAAAGAGATCACTCCAACATATGTTAAAGGCTTTGTCACTTGCTTATTACTCAATCTTGGAATTTTAAAATGGCGGTGTTTGGTAAGAAAATCCAACATGACAAAATCCTACGCGTAACCTTGGAATAGAATAGTCTACTTTGGCCATGTGGAGTCTCCATCCCCCAAAATAAAAGGGAATTGCTGCAGACCATGAATTAATGATTTTCTTTCTCCGAAATAAATGCCAAATAGGCTCTAAGCTGCATTCTAGCAAAAGCAAAGCATAATTTTTACTTCATTTACTAAAGAAAATAATAAATTTCTTTTTGAGCATAATACAATCATAACAGTAAGTCACAGAGAGGTCTAGTTGTTCACGTGAGCTCTGAAAGGGCAGTCAGAAACACAACAACATCATAGGACCCTCAGTTGCCACTGCTGTAAGTTTCTAATCTAGTTCCACATATTAGGAAAACTTGTTATTGGTATTTTGAATAAATTTTTAGTTGTTAACCTTTTATTAGATTTTTTTAGTCATTTTCAGCAACAGTGATCCCCTCTCATGCTGATCCAATAAAATGAACTGATGGAAACATGAGCTATTTGGAAGTATTAGCACAGGGACAGCCATACCAATGGATGCAGAGAAAAAAATTACTAACTCCATGCTAAGCTTTAGCCATAATAATCAGAGAATCATACTTGATAGGACAATATTGCTGACATTCTTGTTTAAAAAGCATACAAGGAACTCCGACCACAGGACAATGCGTATTAGATTACTGCCTGTTTGCAGGACAGAAGCCAAGCTATAAGCATGTAACAAAAGAGGTGCAGGAGAAAGGATTCTGTTTTGCTGGGAAATTTTCAAAAGCAGAAGAGTAGCACAAAGGAAATACCTTAAGATCTCGCCTTTCCAGATGCAAAAGTTCAGCCCCTCTGATGTCATGACGGATGAAGATTTCTTTGTACTCTCCCAAATTGAGCAGATCCAGCCAAGCAGCAACTTCCTCTGTGCCCCATTTTTGAACTACCAAAGTTAAGAGCAAAACCCCCTTAATTTCTACATGCTCAATGCATTACAAAGCAAAGGTTGGCCAAAGAAGATGCAAAACAGAGTACAGCGGCAGTGCTAGCAAAGGGAAAGGTTAAAGGTGTTGTTTCGACAAAACTCCCATTTCGCTTTTTCCCCCATGCAGGTTACAGACTCTCAATCAACACAGAGATATGACTATGCAGGGATGTTCACTGCTGTGCACCGTGCCTTGAGCTTTAGCTCCATTTCCTCTCCAAGCTGCCCCAACTACACAATCTAAATAGCCCAAGATCTAAATAAGCTCTGACGACTTCCTTTAGACTGTATATGAAACTAGTTCTAACTGAAGTAGCTACAAGTGCTGATGAAAATTGAAAATCTGACATGGGCTTCTGAATATCACACAGACGTCGGCTCCAGGTCTGGCTGAATTCAAGGGATGCCTTTATTGATTCTGTTATGGTTCGTAATTATAATTATTGACAATGATAGCACTAAATGTGTTGTTAGCTCACCTTAATGTCTTCTGAAAACTGTCAGTACTGCTAAGATGAGTTGGACTGTTACTTTTCAATATGTATCATCATTGTTTTATAAATTTTATTTGACATTGATTAGCTTAATTCAAATTTATTTATTTGCCATACTTGGTTTTAAAATGCCCTTCAGTGGCTGCTCTACAATTGTCAAAAATCAGGTCATATATCACTTTTTTAAAAGGAGACAGCTCACTTGGAAGGATTATAAAATGATTTGATCGTGCAAGGCACCTATTGCCATCTACACAGAACTTGAAGGAGCCTCAGCACCACTGCAGCATTAAAATTACTTCCTAGGGGAAGGGGGAAAGGGAACCAGACCAACACCACCACAGTTTAATCTTCGCTTGAGAATGCACGTGTCACTGGGGGCTGTCACGACTGAGGGGCTGAAACGGTGTAGGAAGTCCTTGAAACAGGAGAAAGACAATGCGTAACTTTAGGTGGAAAAATCAATTATTTAGCAAGTTAAAGGAGTAAATGGAAGTTTCAACATGCCATTCATCAAAATGAGCTAGATTTTGAACTTTGAAGAAGAAAAACAAGTTACACACCACTGATGCCTTGAATTGTTGTTACGCAGGACACAGGACCATCTAAACAGACGCACTGACGTCCACTGAACAGAGTAGAAGCCCATCAGCGACCACCTTGTTTTCTTGTGTGCTTCGCTGCTAAAGACTCCTACTGGTTGGGGGACTTATTTTAGGTGTGACATGATTTGCTTTATTGTGGTAAAATGAACATAAAATAAAATTCACCATTTTAACCATTCTATGGTGTTTACTACCTCCATAATGTGCAAGGGTCACCACAAATAATTCCAGAACATTTTTATCGCCTCGATGACATCGCTTTAATGAGTCATCTTTTCCACAGGGTTTTACTTTCCCCTCCAGTGCAGATCACCTACCAGGCTGTGAACTTGTCTTCTGCTTCTGAACCTTTTCCTTTTTAAATTTTGGCACGATACGAAAGACTGTGCTTCTGCTGTTTCTCTTGGTGCAATCCATGGGGGGCTCCTGTTCGAGTGGGGCAAGAAAAGGAATTTGCTCAGGACGTTAGGAGAAGAAAAACTCACCCCGATCTTAAAGCCAACGCAGGAACAGGTTATAAGCACAACACACCGTTGAAGCCGTGGCTTGTTAACAATTAAAGTGCATGATGCTACGTACTCCTTGAAAATGTACTGATTCCCGTGTGGTACCTTTGTTCACAGAAAAGCCTTTGCTCGCTTGTTCAAGAGCAGCACATTTGAAAGTGGTATTCAAAATGCATTCTCCCTTGAATATCTCTTGTTCAATTTGATTGTCATAACGTCTGCATTTATAAAGAAACAGGCCACATTTCACATACCGCATCTTCGTTTGGGTGTAAGATATAATAAAGCCAAGGGATCTCCGTTAACTTCTGCAGCTCCACCTCCACAGAATGTAAGGCATGAGACACGCGTTCCTCGTGCGGGGATTCTAACTGCTGTTCGCCAGCAAATTTTAAAAAACACAAAATAAAACAAGGCTCAGTGACCAATCTCAAACAGGAGAAATTCATTTTATTTTGACAACGAACATCCTCATCTCTTATTAGGCTAGGCTAGGTTATTGTTGTTGGTAAGATACAGGAATATAGGAAAAAAAGAAAAGATTATTTTCTATTGAGCTTATTTAAAAAAAAAGAAAAACCTGGATAGATTTATCCGTACTTTCCAAAGATAAGATAAGCAGCCAGTGTGACTTTAATAATGTCACAGAAAAAAAGTATCACACTTGGTGGTTTTCTTTCTCTCTCCCTTTTTTCTTTCTTTCTTTCTTTTCTTTCTTTCTTTCTTTTTCTTTCTTTCTTTCTCTCTCTCTCTCTCTCTCTCTCTCTCTTTCTTTCTTTCTTTCTTTCTTTCTTTTTTTGTAAATTCTTTCCTCTCTCCCTCCCTTCCAATCCCGCGTCCATCCGCCCAGTCTACCTGCTTGCTAGTAAGTAATCTCGCTATTCTACTTCTCTGTGGCAAAAATCCTTCCGATTTCCATGGGCCGCTATGTAAGCAAATAACACTATTTTAAAAATTGGTCAAAAACGTGTCCCATCATAAGAACTGCTTGGCACAGAAATCTCCTGGAGAATTAAAATAATAAGTTTAAGGGGGAAAAAAAAACCCCACGAATCTCAGAAAAATTTGTGACGAAAAGCTGTTGTAAAAATCAGGGCAAAAGCAAAACGCTGAATGGTTTGAAATCTGGAAGAGGGTTTGGAAACTTTAAGGAGAATTTAACCGATCACTTATTATCCATTCATTTGAGGCAGCTATTAAAAAGCACTTAGAAATTCAATAGTAAAGGTGAAATAAACACTGTTACATGTACAACAGGAAGGGAGGCGACTGCCTTCTGGTCCTGGCTTTGTTACTAACTATACAACCAAGGGAAGGCTGACTGATGGTAGGAGTCTTAGTTTCTTCCTTAATAAATAGTAGAAAGTGACCAGATTATTTCTAAGGTCTATTCCAGAGAATCAATCCTTTCATAAATTACTTTAAGATTGTAGAGCATCTATATACAGGTTTGCAGAATTTTAAACTGAAAGTTCAGCGAAATTGTTCCTGTTATTTATTATGGTCGTTTTTTTCTCCTTGGTTATTCAAGGTATTTACCATTTCTAGTAGTTAATAAAAATATGGAGATTCTCCACCTTGTCATGTAAAATTTACTACTTTCCTTTGAGTCTAAGAATACACGTCTTATAAAATTGATAAAATGGTATTGCATATTCATTCTAGAAGCAAAATAAAGTGTAAGCCTTAGTTGATCTCGAATATGACTGACACTGTATTTTGACATCAATATGGTCAAAGGTTTTGAAAAAATTCACTGGTATACATTTTAAACCATACACCCATATTAGACAATGACAGAAGTAGATCGAAATGATTAAGAGTCTGTGTGGGTTGTTCTATATGAACATAATATAATTGATAAATACTAACCCACTAACACTCAATGGGTGCTTTCAGTGTAGAGAGCTAAAACACAGAACAAGTTATGCTTCTAGTTGTTGTCAGTCAGGAGTTATCTTTTGTATTTCAAATAAGACAAAAAATACATGTCCTTCACATAAAAATTGGGACCAAAGCCACAGCTCACTGGATTTCACTGGACTGATTTTAGAAGAGCAACAAGAAGCCTCTAGTTAATAACAAAGGTGCCAAGAATTGGCAAAATGTTCCATTGGTTTTATCAAAAAAGGTAATCAATGTGTCTTCGTAAAAGTTTTTCTTCAGGGCCATAGCATAGGCAGCCACGTCCTGCCCCAAGGAAGTTGTACTTCTTCAGCTTCCTCTGGAGATGGGTAAGAGCCATGGGTGTCATTCATCCTTGAAGCTTCTCTTCTCAAAGTAAAAGATGCTCCAGGGATGGTACCTTCTGGACCCCAATCAAACTCCAAGCACAGTCACTTTGTTAGCTAGACTGTGACACACCTCCTATTTTCCCACTATGCCGGATACTATGACTTTTACTACCACTTTATTCTCCAAAGCAAGAGAGAAAATTACAGTCAAGAGGAATGTTGTAAGATCATCACAGATCAGTTCATCAGAATCGTGACCAGGAAGAAAAAATAGCTAATGCATCATAATGCATCAGGCTTTCTACACAGTTACAGCAGCGCGTGTGAATAACCCACAATCGAACACTAGGTGGCGAGAGGACCCAATATTCTAGAACGTTTGAAACTGGTGAGAGAATAAAAGGCTGACAAGGCAGACTCCAGGCAAACCAAACAGGACATCTGTGGACTTCTAGCACTTGAGGTCCACTGACTGTGGTCAAATTCAGACCTGCCCGAAACTTCATTTCCAGCACCAATCTGAGTTAATCTAGAGATAGGGCTAGCTCTTGAATTTAGTTCTTGAAACATCGAGTCTTAGAAAGTGCTGCCCTTTAAGCGAATCTAAAAACCATACCAATCATATTTCAAATGTTAATTTCAGGAACAAAACCGATGATTTCCTCTACCTCTCTGCAATTAGGAAGCAATGAGTTCCTGAGGAATGCCTGCTACACTTCATAAGGCTCAAGTCTCTCAAAGCTGACTGGGGAGAACTGTACTGCATAAAAACCTGATGGCATCTATGAGGGGAAACCTCTACTCCTGTTAGCCCGCACCATAACTCCCCGGTGTAGCCATGCATTTTCTCGAAGGCAAAAGCCAGGTAAAAGGGAAGCCCTAAGGATGGAGGCCAGGAGGCTGCTTCTGCATTAGAATCTGATGAATGAATGCATGCTCCCTAATAAAGCTGAGGCCCACACATGGATCGTCATTCTTGTGTTACCAGTCATCTCTTCCTTACCAAAGGAACCCTGCCCACTAGTAAAGATTCTGTTTCATTATATAATGCCTTCACATTGATGGCTATTTCAGTGGCAGTGTCTCTCGTAAGACTCTAGAAAAAAAAAAAACAACACATCAAAGACAAGTAGTTCTGTATTAAGTTGGGATTCAATCATCAGCAAATACTTTACATTTTATTCTTCCCATAAATTCACATCACACATATTTACACACACATCACACACATCACACATATTTACAACTCTACCCCAATTCTATTATAATTGAACAATTTCACCCCGTGCCCTGACTATAGTCACACACTTAGGACCACATCTCCTGCATACAAACATGTGGATGCTTGCAACAACATATCCGTGTTCCCATAAAACAGTTCAGTCAAAGAAAATTATGCCTTATCAGATAATGGGGCATTATCAGATCATAATCAGTTCTATCCACTGACTTTGACTCCCAGAAGTTCCAACCAGACTGTTTTTTAGACTTTTGCCTTGAGGAAGCAGCACTTATCTATCAATTTAGGTAACTTCCACTGAATAATTAAAGGAATGAAAAAATGCTATGAGTTTTCTCTACACTACAGCCTTGTACCATGTATCATATTTCAAGAGAGCTGTATCCTTTCCCTTCTTTTTTTAACACCTACGTTAAAAAAATTATAGATGTTACAAAATTGTAGCATCTACATTAAAAAGTTTACCCACTTTACCAGTTTCATAGAACAAAATGAAGTGAGAATAACTTCTGTACACAGCTTTGACATTGAATGAACATTTCTAATAAAACGCATGGTATGTAGTTTGCCCTACATCAGGGTGCAGGGGAGAAGGTGAAAGAAAGAACAAGAAGGGATGGTGGTAGCTCGAAGGAGAAGAAGTGCAAGGAAGGTGGCAAGGCGACAAGTGATTGAAAGAGAAATGGGGAAAAAAATGAAGAGATTTTAAAGGAATGGAATGGAATGGAAAAATGGCAGGAAAAGAAAAATGAAAATGTGGCCACTAATTCATCATAAGCTCTGGCAGGCACTCCTACAGACTGTCTAATGCTTTTTCAAAGGGCATGGCACATGTTATAGCATTGAAATATATGTGTAATACATAACAGTCTGTGGAATGAGAATTTACCATTAGCTCCTCACCTCTGGGAAGCGTGGGTTGGCTTTATTCAGTGCGTGGGAGCATGCATTCACAGCATGGGCCAGTTCTTGCTCCAAGAGACAATGGATCGTGGCTGCATCACAGATCCTGAAAGCAAAAATGAGGCAGGTGAACAAAAAAAATTTGAGCATCGCTGATTTTTCTGAAGTGTAGAAATGGTAGAATCAGACAATTCGGAAAAAAAAAGATTAGGGGATATTTTTAAATGAGTTCAACTCAATTATGAATAACAAAGGGTAGATTTACAAAATTCAAACCCCACTGTAACAAAGAATGTGAAACCAAAAATCTTTATAGGAAAAGTTAGGCTTAGAATCACAGATAAACACAGTGAGGTACTATTTGGAAGAACAAAATATAGTAACACTTCATTTTGAAGTATCATTGGCAAGTGAGATGGGGCCCAAATGTAGAGAGCAGAAACTTAATCTTTTATTCATTGAAACTTCAATCAGGAACAAATAAAACAGAGTAGGAGAAGAACATTGCCATATTTAGCATATATACACTAAGTGCTTTACATACATTATCTAATTTAATATTCACAACTTAAAAGGTAACTGTGATTAATTTTCTCCACTTTATAAGAGCGTGAGGGCTGGAGAGATTCGGTAAGTATACAAAGCTAATAAGTAATAGAGCCAGGATTTGAATCTATGTCTATCAGCTCCAAAGTCTGTTGTGTCACAGTCCTCTGGAATCTAAACATTTAAGAATATCCTGAAAAAACAGGATCCTGGAGCTCACTAAGGCCAAAGAAGAAAAAAGGAAAAGTTCCACCAATTGCTAGAAGATGATGTAAAGTTTGCGGATGAGCAAGAAGGCAAAACTATGCAAATCCTTTTTGCTTCTGACATCTACAAGGAGAATGATCTTCACACTAGAAAGGGTAAAACAAGAAAAGAGACTAGGCCTATATTGTTGAATCAAGAGTAAAGGAAGAGAGCTTAATTCTTAAAGATCATACAATTGATATCCAAGCCACAAAGGAATTTGCAAATGTCATCTCAATATTTCTACCAATAACCTTGAGAAATCATAAAGAATGGGTTACTTATCAGAAGAATAGAGGTGGGTAAATGTTACTCTAATTTTCAAAAAAAGGAAAAGAAATAAATCAATTTCAGATCAATATTTCCAATTGCCTACTAAAATTTCCTCCCAGATATTTATTTCTTTTTTTTTTAAGATTTATTTATTTATTTGAGAGAAAGAGAGAGCATGTGAGCACGAGGGGGGGTTGCAGAGGCAGACTCCTGGCTGAGTGCAGAGCCTACCATGGGGCTCTATCTCACGACCCTGAAATCATGATGTGAACCGAAACCAAGAGTCAGATGCTTAACTGACTGAGCCACCCAGGTACCCCTCCTCCTAGATATTTCTAATGTAGTTTAAATTCTGGAAGTCCAACACGGAGCCTGTCATTTTCCCTCTCAAACCTACTTTCCCTCCTGAATCCTATGGTTCCATCAAAGGTTCCATAATCCATCCAGCCATTCACCAGAACCTGAGGGTCATCCTGTCTCCTAATTCAGGTCAGTCAGCAATTTTAGATAATAATCAATCTTAAGTCTCTCTTCTTCTTTCCATCTCTCCTACCTCAATCCGTTGTTCCCCATCAGGACCATTCCAAGAATGTTCACCCTAACCTTGCTTTGCTGTCTTGCAAACAATGCTACACATTGCTTCCAGGAACATCCTGGTAAGACCTGGCCCCTCTTCCCTTCTCCATCCACATTTCCTACTCTCTCACATACACCATGCCATCCCCAGTTCCCTGAGATTTCCTAAAAGTACTATTCACTCACACTCCTCTGGGCCTCTGCCCAGGCTTCTTCCCATGTTTAGAATGTTCCTTCCCTTACTCTTCCATCAAGACTTGGCTGAGAGATCACCTTTTCCAGGCAGCCCTCCCTTACTTTCTTGGCCTCCTGTGTGTATCCACAGCACCCCCACTGAGCCCTGTGATAACACTCTGGCCACACGTTTCCCTTCTGCTACCCTGCCAGCAAATTAAGGAAAGGGACTACAACCCAGCCATTTTGGCATCCCCACTGCTTAATATGGTGGTTGGCATGCAGAAAAGACTCAGAATTATTTGTTGACTACTGAATGAATAAGTTCTGAAAATAGATGAGTGAGCCTGATTTTCATCTTTTGCAAAATTAAAAAAAACACATATGGGGAACCACATTAGGTTGACCAAAAGCAAGTCTGGCCAGCCTTCACTTCCCTTTTTTTGATAAGGTTATTTGGTTAGTTGACAGGAAGTTAATTTAGGAAGTATATTTGATTTCAAGGGAGATAATACAGAAAGTATATTTTGGTTTCAAGAAAATGGTGCAGTTCTATTTTTAATTTTCTGAAAAACCTCCATACTATTTTCCATAATTTGTTAATTAGCTTGATTATGGTCATTGTTTTACAATGTGTACATATATCAAATTATCATGTGTACACCTTGTACATATATATAAGTGATTTTATTTGTCAATTATTCCTCAATAAAGCTGGAAAAGAAGCAAAAATAACAGAAGTTGTTTATAGTACCCTAAGATGAATCTCTCTGTGGATAAGTTCTTGCACTTAGCTAACTACTCATTTTTCTTACCTTGCTTCTAAGCTTCTCTGTATCTTGCAGTTATCATACTTTATTCTAATTCTGAATGTTGGTCTCCAGCTGTAGGGAGTTCATATCTTTTCTCTCACATCTCTAACATCTAGTACATTCTAGGTTTCCAAAAATATTTAAAGAGCTTTGTTTTCCTTCTTTTCTTTTTCAACATTTTTATCAGTGACCAGGTGAAGGTGTGGTAGGAATAGCTACCATACACAGAACACCTATGCCAGACGTGATGTGCTAATAAGTTTCTTACATGGTGGTCTCATTTAGCCTTCACAATGACCTACAGAGTTAGCTCTTATTATCTCCATTTGGTAGAGAAGATTTAGGTGAAGAGGGGATAAGAAACTTGTCCATGGTTGTCCTCCCTTCCCCCAACAAAGTTTACTCCTGGTAATAGTGATTTTTATCTGTTTCACACTCCCAGAACTTGTGTTTTCATCTCTTCCCTTTCTGTCTACTAAAATGAATTCCTGTGTGGTTTCCCAATCTCTGGATATGTCTTTGGAAACTGATTCTCAGACTTTTCCCACCCAAATTTCCTTGGGAGCAGGGTTAATATTTATATTTCCTTCTACATTCCAGAAGAATTTAATTAATAATTATAAGGTAACATATACATAAGTAGTAGAGTGTAAAGACTGTGTAGAACTGGGGAAATAAGCAATAACAGAAAGAGCACCCTGTTGTAGGGTAAGTTAGGCAAGCTCTCTACTGCGTTTCAGGAAGTCCAAGGTCTGTTCTGCAGAGAACACAGGTGTGTGTGTGTGTGTGTGTGTGTGTGTGTGTGTGTGTGTGTGAGAAAGGGTTTAACTGAGGCATAAATGAGGCAACAAATGAGGAAGGAAAGTAAATGCATCTCTTTTAGATACCCCCAAACAACCGACATTATGTATCAAAACTAAAAAACAAAATTGGCCAAGACCAGAGTTCTCCTCCCCTAAAGCAAGCAGGGCCACCATACCTAGTAATGAGCTCCTCTGCAGCCTGGGAGCATAACTGCATTTGGGACACCTCTTCTGTTGCCAAGTCAACGGCATGCTGGATGTACAAATGGGTTCGAAGAACTGGTTTACCGGAATCACACTTCTGTTTATCTTCCCAAGATTTCAGAGTGCTTTCAAAAGCCTATTTAACATCAATATTGCAAGGAATTGTTAGTTTGGAACTCTGAGACCCACATAAGAGAGTATTTAAATGTTACATGAATGACTTTGAAACGATTGCTTTTTTCCTAATCTGAAGCTTCATTAAAGAAATCATAAGATACAAAAAAGCTATTTTAAAATTTTCCAGTGTTATCATAACAAATAAGTAACGTAATCAGTGATGAGGAGTGAATCACTGAAAAGTTTTAAGAAAGACAGCTTCAATTTAGGCTTCAATCTGTACTTTAAACCCATCATAGACAAGATGGGTATTGGCAGTCTTATTTGTTGTAAGTGTGACCTTAATTAAAACATATTCTGGAAAAGGCAGAACTATGGAGATAGGGGTTGAGGTAAGAGAGGGAGTGATGGATAGATGGAGCACAAGGAATTTTTAGGGTAGTGAAACTACCCTGTATGATACTATAATGGTGGATATAAGCGATTATATATTTCTAAAAAAACATAAAATGTACAACATGAAGAGTAAATTATGACCTTTAATTAATAATTATCAATATTGGCTCATCAACTATAATAAATGTACCACACTAATGCAAGATGTTAATAATAAGGGACTGTATGTCAGTGAGGTAAGGAGGTATGTGGAAATAGAATTAGAATTCTCTGTATTTTCTACTCAATTTCTCTGTAAACCTAAAAAAATAATAAAAATATAGTCTATTAAGTTTTTTTTTTCTTTTTAGAGAGAGAGTGCACACATATGCGCATTATGAGCCAGGGTGGGGAAAGGGGGAGAGGGAGAGAAAGAGAGAGAATCCCAAACAGGCTCCAAGCTCAGTGTGGAGCCCTATGTGGGGCTTGGATCTCACAACCTTGAGATCATGACCTGAGCAGAAATCAAGAGTTGGCACTTAACTGACTGAGCCACCCAGGTGCCCGTAGTCTATTAACTTTTTAAAAAACTAAATACTTGTTCATATTTAAAACCACAATGACCTAAATGTCAGATTTAAGAGACAATTTAAATATCTTTCCTTAGTTTCTATTTTTCATAACAACTGAATTTTTTTTTTAAAGTAGGCTCTACCCCCGGCGTGGAGTCCAACTCATGGCTTGAACTCACCACTCTGAGATAGAGACCTGAGCTGAGATCAAGAATCAGACACTTAACCGACCAAGCCACCCAGGTGCCCCCAGAACAGTTTAATGTTTTTAAAAGGCTTGATAAAAATCTAGAAGAATTTTTTTTTTTTACATACCCTGTCCCTTGTTAGCATCTGAGCTCTGTTTTTGTGCACAATTTTGATAATTCCTGGAGGCTGAACCCATGCTTCACCATCCACCTGCACTGGGACTCCCTCATCGCCAAATATAGTGATTTTTACTGTACGGCACTGAAATAAAACAAGTCATTTTAGAGAACAAATCGTCCCGAGAAACTGACAATCTGCATTCAAGCCTGACTTTTAGTGCATTCGGTGGAATGGAATGCATCTTTTTCCACTTGTCATGACACAGTAACAACTGACATGACAAGAAAGTTAACATTTTTTTTAAAAGATTTTATTTATTTATTTGACAGAAAGAGAGAGAGAGAGCACAAGTAGGCAGAGTGGCAGGCAGAGGGAGAGGGAGAAGCAGGCTCCCTGCTGAGCAGGGAGCCCGATGCAGGGCTCGATCCCAGGACCCTGGGATCATGACCTGAGCCGAAGGTAGTCGCTTAACTGACTGAGCCACCCAGGTGCCCGGAAAGTTAACATTTTTAGATGCATAGACAGCACAGGAGTCCTTTGGAATAGCTTCCCCAGTGGCCCAAGTCATGAGGTCAGGTTTGATCAGAGAAAACAAACCTGGGCTATTCGATGGTGCTGCAGTTTAATGACCCTTGAAACTGCCATTTGCATGCTATCAAAGATTGCAACAACTTCCAGGATCTTGTCATCAAATGATGGTGCAGCAAATATCTGAAAGGAAAAACTACATTACATTTCCCCTGATGAGGTTAACGTTTAGATCGAGTGGCACGTCAGCAATGTAAACTCTGCAATATACATATTAAAAAGAACTTATGAAAATAGTAAACAGCAAAGTAAGTAAACGTTGTTAGGAAATGATAACCCAAGGGCAAAAAGAAAAACCCACTGAAGAGGATTTAACGTAAACAAACTTAATAAAAAAGGTTTAAAACCCACATGGATAAAATGCTAATGTCTCTCATAAAGCCCTCTTTGAACCAGTGAACTATTATATTTCTAAATAATCCATCTTGGTATAAAATGTGTTAAACATCTGTTCACACATAACTTTGATGTCTTGATAAAATGGTGCATGTAATTTTAGGAAACCTAAAATACCCAGTTCCCTTGGTATGTTCTAAGGGAAATCTTTCAATGTGTTACAAGCAATATGTATGTACAATGTGCTTTACATCTTTTTTTTTTTTAAAGATTTTATTTATTTATTTGAGACAGAGAGAATGAGAGAGACAGAGAGCACATGAGAGTGGGGAGGGTCAGAGGGAGAAGCAGACTCCCCGCTGAGCAGGGAGCCCGATGCGGGACTCGATCCAGGGACTCCAGGATCATGACCTGAGCCGAAGGCAGTCGCTTAACCAACTGAGCCACCCAGGCGCCCAATGTGCTTTACATCTTAATACAACAACTTTTTAGGGCATTTGAGATGACAACAGACACCTCAGAGAATAAAAACCATGCAGGATTACTTTAAATGCATTTTCACAAAATTAATTTAATCCAACGAATTAAATTCCGGCTGTGTTACTTTGTTCCTTTTATTCTCTCTTTGACTATATGACAAACAATTATGCCTCTGAAAAAAATTATTCAGCATCAAGTAATATCCTAGTTAAAACTTTCATTGAAAATATCAGGATGTGAATTTGCAAACTTTGATGATTTTTTATCATTTTTGTTAGCAGAATACGTGGTTTTAAATCCTGTCTCTGCTACTTCCTGTGTGAACTTAGTCTCAGTTTCTTCATTGGTCAAATTTAGATAAAAATTGTGGTTGTTAATAATGAATGTGAAATTCTGAGAACACTATCTGATGACCTAGTAGGTGCTGTTAGCTTTGTTTATCTCACTGATTTCTTCCCTTTAAAATATTTAAGAGTAGTTACAGGCTGACAAAAAATTAACAGCTAATATAAGTTTTATAGTTCATTAAGATTGGAATATATTCATATAATGAAAATTACAAATATATTCCAATTTATTTTATACTTTAATCTCCGTCTGCTCATTCAAGAGCCCTGAAAAAATGGGTCAGTGGGAACTCTTATTAGCCTCAAATAAAAGGGGCTATCATTCCTCACATGTGATTCTTCAAAGACTGTAATAATCCTTTTTTATTGTTATGTATATCTTAATAATTGTTCCTTTCATTTTATTATTTTTAAAACATTTATTACATTCGCTAAGTTGTGTTTTTTCTTTTTAGACTTTCCTGTCTAAACATAGCTCTAAATTTCAAAGGCCAAATGAGCCCTCTTAACATTCCTAAAGATAAAAATAATAACAACAGACACATAAATTTAGAAAGTTAAAAGTACAGAAGGCATTTTGGTAAGCAGAATAATGTCCCCCTTCCCACCTCCAAAATGTCCATGTCCTAATCTGCTGAGGTTGTGAATGTTACTTTACATGGCAAAACAGACTTTGCACATGTCATTACTAGAAGGACCTTGAGAAGGGGAGATTATCCTGGATGATGCAGTGGGCCCAGGGTAACCACAAAAGTCACTGAAAGTGGAAGAGAAGGGCAGTTGGGGTGATCAGAATGATGCGATGGAAGGTTCAGCCTGCCTTTGTTGGCTTTGGAGATGGAGGAAAGGGCCATGGGCCAAGGAATGTGGGCAGTCCCTAGCGTCTGGAAGGTGCAAGAAGATACTTACATCATCCTCTTTAGTTCCACCCCAAAAGTTAGTGCCTCCCGCATAGCTGGGAATGTTCAACACTGCTATTCCTTGCAGACTGGGGAGAGGAATATACTGCCCATCACACTGTAAGGTAAAAAGCTTAGAGGTTAGACAAAAAGAGCAAAACTGCTAGTTGGGAAGCCACTCGAATACCCAAGACAAAGGATGATGTCGGGAAGTGTATTGGTAATGTTTGCTTCTCCTGTAAATATATTCCTACACATTACCTTTCTCTTTTTTTTTTATTTTTTATTTATTTTATTTTTTTTAAAGATTTTATTTATTTATTTGAGAGAGAGAGAATGAGAGACAGAGGGCACGAGAAGGAAGAGGGCAGAGGGAGAAGCACACCCCCTGCTGAGCAGGGAGCCCGATGTGGGACTCGATCCCAGGACTCCAGGATCATGACCTGAGCCGAAGGCAGTCGCTTAACCAACTGAGCCACCCAGGCGCCCTCTCTCTTTTTTTTAATTAAAAAAATTTAAAGTGTATATTCCTATGGCAGAAGTTGTAACAGAAAACTGACTTAAAATAATGTTTTACCTCTTCTTTCTGTCAAAATCAGGCAGTACTTTTCTGGAGTTTTTTTCAGATCACTTAATGATATTCTCACTTGCATTATGGTCACCTTTGTGCTTATGTCAAGTGTCCTTTTGGAAGCAGGTTCAGTGAGGGCTTCTGGGTCCCAACCACCTCATCTAGCCCCTCTCTCACCTCCTGGTACTCTTCTCCTGCTCTGTAACTAACTGGTGGCTGGCCAGACTCAAAGCTGAGTTCCTCAAGTAGTCAGAACCAAAACCAAGGAAAGAAACACCATGCATGTCGGGAAGTATCTTAAATTCCGTGTCTCCTAATTAATCACTTAAATGAAAATTAAAATTACCACTTAAGTAGGGAAAAATTTTCCTCTGGCTGGTGAGTAAATTATACATGACAGGTAAGCAAATTCTTACTGAATAGAAGGTTTAATCCTTCATTTTAAAAGAGGACAGCTTGCAGATGTCAGACTTACAATAGATGCTATAGTTTCATTAATTCTTACAATAAAAAGTAATTAACGTAACTTTATAAAACTCGCATTTTAATGCCTGATCGAAATGATCTCCAAACTTTAGAACAAATGAAAATCCAGTTTCAATCCATTTTTCAACCATTTAAAATAACTAAGAATATCTCATACTTGATTGTACTCCTTCATGCATTTTTTACATTTTCTTTTCTTTTTCATAAAAATACATTCAAAGGTTTATACTCTATCCCAGCACCTGGGGCCATTCCTGGCACACAGCTAATGCTCAGTGTGTATTTATTAAAGTGAACAAACATTAAGTATTCAGTAGAATAATAAACTTTTTCTGAATCCAATAAATTGAACAGGTATCTTTGTGTGCTTTAGAACAAGCTGTTTAAATCATATAACTAACTTAAAGGAAATGGAAGAAATGCCAGTAACATCCATCTTAATTTCACAGCGATGATAAATCAAACCAGCTGATCATGCGCTTGTGCTCTAGAGGGGAAGGTATAATGAGTTTATCTTTACTAGGACATTTAGTTGATAACGAATGAGCCAGGCACTTCTGTAGTCCGCATTCCAGTGTAAAGATAACACCTAAAAAAATAATGCTCCTGTTTAATTTAATGAGCTGTAGACTTAAGATTTGCACACTTTTCTGTACCTAGGCTATACCTTAATTAAAAATATCTGGTTATAAAAAGATACAAGATAGGAAAGACATGTGTATCAGCATCAACCGTGAATCCTGGACCAACGGTGAAAGAAAATAAAATTCACAGAAGTTAATAGACTTTTCAGAGCCATGTCCCCAATCTTCTTTTTCCTGTTAGTGAAGGAGAGTAAATAACTTTTGCTGTCCTTAATTTCCTCTTTAAATTAGTAAAAACTACTAAAAAATTTCAATGTTCAAAATCTCTTTATTTTACTATTGTTAGAATTGGAACAAATACATATTTAAATTAAAAGAGTCTTTATACTATGAATGTTTTCTCAGGGATTTGTGAAACGTCAGGCATTATAGAATTGGGCCAGAATTTGTCAACTTAAATGAAAAGATCTGTGGGAATTCATCAGAAATGCTCTCCTATAAATGTCCTCATCATGGCTCCACCTTCTCACGGAGCACCAGTGACTCCACAGAACCATCCACATTTCAGGAGCTAATGATAATGATAATTAAGTGTGTCATTCATATCCAGTGTCTAAACCTCCTTTAGTATGAAGTTGATAATCACCTCCATTGAGTGTTTAAGCACTTGAAGAAGCATTTAGGCCAAATTAGCTCTGCAAATGTAATTAACTTTTCTAAGTAAGATAATCTGAACTATCTTTACTTCAAGAGGAACTTACCTCAAGTTGAACCCTCTGTTCTAAATTCTTATACGATCTCTGTAATAACTCCCGGGTTCCAAGGACTCCATACCACATCAAGTTTTTAGTTCGGCTCCTGAAATAAATATTGGCAGACAATTTAATAGCTATTATTGATTTACTCTTTAAAGGCAGAGCAAGCAAAAGAGCTAATAAATGAAATTAAAGTGAAATTACCTTCATGTAATAACATTATTACTATTACCAAAATTACCTGCATTTTTCAGGGTGCTCCTCTCTCTTATTATTAAATTCTAATGAAATTTTTGCATCTAATCCAATCCCAAAGTAATTGTTCATGACACATTTTTCTGAATATCCATCTCTGTGATAATAAGGAAATGTACATAAAAGTCAACTTCAGATTCATAACAATTACAATTTGCACACAAAATAGCACTTAAAAGCATTTAAGCTTCCATGCCTTATAGATGAGAGTAAAACTTAGCAGGAATTATTTCCTAGTCATAGGCCATGTGCACAAGCCCAGAATATATATGTCATTTTTGGTACATATGATATAAAGGGATAGTGAACAAGGCAAAGCAGAGACAGAGTCATGGTAATGCTTTTCTATTAATTGTAATAAAACCTTAGTTCTGCTTCCTGTGTAAGACCCTCGCCAAACACACAAATGGGAGGGCCTTGCAGTCAGGTGCCAATGCTCTTTTTTTGATCACTAGGAATTTTTCTCCACTTGTACTCTTATCAATGGACAAATATTTACTGAGCAGTAAAATGACTAGATCCAGTCCATCTTCTGGGTGCTTTGGAAAGTACAAAGAAGTTTAAAATATGGTACTGTCTTTGAGGAGTGTCATTAGAGAAATGAGATATAACAAAAGCAAAATTTAATACAGAAGTAAAAGCTCATATTGAACTGCCAAAAAAAAAAAAACCCTGTAGTTTTAAGAAGGGAAGAGATCAATGTGGGCCAGAAGCTTCTTGAAATAAATCAAGCTAGAAGCTGGATGGGGAAAGATGAGATTTGGCAACACTGAGAAGAAAGGAGGAAAAAGGAATAGCAAAAAAAAAAATGGTTATGAAGGTGCCGATGAATACAATATTCTAGGGGAAAGTAACATAGCTGTGCCTCATTTTGCCATAGGGTTGTGATCCTACACGTGGGTCCTGTCCGGCCCATGAGACAATGGGCCGGACAGGAACCCTACCTCAGGAAGAGATCATGAAAACCACTGCGTTTCAAATGCATCAATGTACTCTTCATTATCAACTTTTGGAATTTTCTAATGACCCTCTTTGTATGGGGGGCCAAATTCCTTGTAATGCATTGACAATGTTACCATGAGTATAAAGCAGAAACAAGAAAAGCCAAAACAAGGTATTTACAAAAATATTTTCTTACACTGAATCTGGATCTGGGTCAATAAATGGCGTTGCACCAAAAGGATCAATATTTGCTAGTAACATTTTGTTGATTATAGAACTCCCAGCAATTGAGGCAGCTAGTCCTGCTCTTAAACCTGGCCAGAAAAATAAAGACATACAGGATCACATATTAAGTAAAAAGACAGAGAAAGAGCCAGTGCATTGTTTTCAGGCCTAATCTCAGACACCTTGCCCCCAAAGCATGGTTTTCAATGTCTGCTCTTCTCATTAGTCAAAACTAAGAACTATGACATTGGTAATTACAAGATTTTTGAGGCTTCTTAGGATCTATGTGTTGTCATAAAAATGCAGCAGATGAAGACCCAAATAAGAGTTTCTTTGTGACAGTTCCTCACTTACCATTCTAGTGATTCTATAACTTCAACAAATAAATATTACTTCCTTTGTTACAGTAAATAAGATGGTAGTCTATAAGGAATTTACAATAAAGGCTGAATTACCAAGAATGTCATAGAGTTACCACTTCCATACTCTCAAAGCATAGATAATAATTTTCAATTAAAAATATTAATAGAGGGGCACCTAGGTGGCTCAGTCGGTTAAACATTTGCCTTCAGCTCAGGTCATGATCTCAGGGTCCTAGGATTGAGCCCTGCTTTGGGGGGGGGGGTCCCCGCTCAGCAGGGAGTCTATTTGTCCTTCTCCCTCTCTCTCTCTGCCCCTCCCCTGCTCATGCTCTCTCTGTCTCTCTCTCCAATAAATAAATAAAATCTTTGAAAAAAAATTAACAGACATACACAAAACTCAGTGTTGGTGTCAAGAGTACAAAAATATTAAACACAGGTATTTATGAACTTAAGAAAAATACAACTTTTATCTTACTTCCAAATATGTAAAACGTCAAGTTTATTTCAACAACTAGTTAGTTTTCTACAAGGTAGTTATGATGTTCAAAGCTAATTAATTTTATGATCTACCCAACTAATTGTTGATGCTAGAAGCATTAAACTCTGAAAAGAAGACAAAGTAATAAGGGCCTAAGAGAACAAACAAAAAGGAAAGAAGAGGGAGGAAAAATATGTCATGGAATTGAGAAACACTAGGATATTAGAAAAAAAAGTCCTTGAGCAAACATTCTTTTCCTCAGCTGTGTGCTCGTCTTAGAAGATTATTATTCCTTATTTTAGCTACAAAGTTTAACTGATTATCAAATAATCAAGATGAATTTTATTCTGTCATTTAATTTCATAGTTTTGAACGGGCTATAGCATACTTAGTTATGCCAGTTTCTTTTATCTCTAAATAAGTGAATAAATGAACAAAACAACTGTTCTGGTGAGGAAAATAAGAACAGTTTGGAGATGTGAAGAATCAAACTCCAGCTGCCCCAAAGAAAAGTATATTTTCTTTTTTTTTTACAATCTTTCATTTTTCATTTATTTTAGGAGAGAGAGCAAGAACAAGCACCAGGGGATGGGGCAGAGGGAGAGAGATTTTCCGCTCTAAGCGTGGAGCTGAAACCAGGAGTGGGAGACCTAACTCACTGTGCCGCCCAGGCGCCCCCAATAGAATAATATTTTAAGGCTAGCCATATTCACAGCTTTAGCCCAGACAGGTCATCCCACGGTTCCAGGTTTAAATAGAGATATAACCTCTAGACAAGGAGGCCTTTCCAGAATCAAACATGTTCTGCATTTATCTTTTTTTATTTTAATATTTCATTGAGATATAATTAACATACCATAAAATTCACCTTTTAAAAAGTAAGTGTATAATTCAGCTGTTTGTAAATATATACACAAAGTTGTGCAATGATCAGTACCACCTAATTTAGAATATATTTTTTAAAGATTTTATTTATTTATTTGAGAGAGAGAGAGAGTGCACATGCGAACAAGCAGGGAGAGGGGCAGAGGGAGAAGGAAATGCAGACTCCCCATTGAGCAGGGAGCCTGATGCAGGGCTTGATCTCAGGACCCTGGGATCATGACCTGAGCCAAAGGCAGACGCTTAACCGACTGAGCCACCCAGGCGTGCCTAGAACATTTTTTTATTACCCTCAAAGAAATCCCATACCTGTTGGTAGTCATTTTCCTTTCCCGCCACTCCCCACATCCCCAAACCCTGGAAACCACTAACCTACTTTCTTTCCCTGTGGATTTGACTATTCTGGACATATTGTACAAATGTAATCACATAATGTGTGGCTTTTTATGTCAAGCTTCTTTCACTTGGCATAACATGTTAGGAGGTAATCATGTTGTGGCATTTACCAGTGCTTTGTTCTTTTTAAAGGCTGAATAACAGTCCACTGTATGGATACTGAACATTTTGTTTCTCCATCAACCGATGATTACTTGAGTTGTTTCTTCTATTTGGCTATTATGAATAATGTTGCTCTAAAACAATCATGTGCAAGGTTTTGTGTAGACATATATTTTTAATTCTCATGGGTCTATAACTAGGAGTTGTTTTCTGGGTTATATGTTAACTCTGTGTTTAATTCTTTGAGGAACTGCCAAACTACTTTTCCAAATGGCTGTACCATTTCATATTCTAACCGGCAATGTATGAAAGTTCCAATTTTTCCATGTCCTTGCCAATATTTGTTATTATCTGTCCTTTTTGATCGTAGTCATCCCAGTAAGGTAAAGTGGTATCTCACTGTGGTTTTGGCTTGAATTACCCTGATGACTAATAATGGTGAGCATCTTTTCATGTGCATATTGGCCATTTGTATATCTCTTTGGAAGTGTCTACTCAGATCCCATTGCCCATTTTTAAATTGAGGTATTTGTCTTTTCATTGTTGAATTTTAAGGGTTCTTTATATATTCTGAATACTAGTCCCTTATCAGGTATGCCATTTACAACTATTTTCTCCTGTCCTATGGTCTCTTTCCTTCCTTCCCTCTTTCTTTCCTTCCTTCCTTCCATCCATTCATTTGTTCTTTTTGATTTATGAGAGAAAATAGTTTTTGTTTTTTGTTGTTTTTTCTTTGTTTTTAGACAGAGAGAGCGTGCAGTGGGGAGGGGCAGAGGGAGAGAAGAGAGAATCCATGTTGGGTGTGGAGCCCAATGCAGGGCTCAATCTCACAACACTGAGATCATGACCTAAGCTAAATCGAGAGTCAGACACAACCAACTGAGCCACCCAGGTGCCCCGAGAGAACAAAGTTTTATGGGAAGCCACAACAACCCAGAATTTGCAAAAACTAAAAGTAAATGTACCATTTTGATGATGGCAGGTTATCAGTTGATCAGACCAACTACCCCTCCTCACTATGAGGGAAAATAGAAAAGCTGAGCAAAATGTAAAATGAAGTCATTTGAAGATCATAAAGAGGTAGACCAATGATGAGGGCTTACCAGCGAACCATTAGAAAAGGAAAATGACTTAGTCAGGTGAGCCCAGGACTTAGGCATAGATTTTTTTTGGTTTTATTTTGTTTTTGGTTTTGTTTTGTTTTTACTTTTTATTTTATTGTGAACACTTAACATGAGATCTATCCTCTTAACAAATTTTTAAGTGTACAAGGCAGTACTGTTAACTATAGATACAACGTTGGACACAGCAGATCTCTAGAACTTATTCACCTTCCTTAACTGAAACTTTATGCATGCTGGCCTGTTCTTTGTAGGAAGGTTTGTTATAGGTCTAGTTGGATTTTCTATTCTTTTTTTTTTTTTAAAGATTATTTATTTATTTGACAGAGAGACGGAGAGAGAGAGCACAAGCGGGGAGTGGGAGAGGGAGAAACAGGCTCCCCGCTGAGCAGGGAGCCCAATGTGGGGCTTGATCCCAGGACCCTGGGATCATGGCCTGAGCCAAAGTCAGCTGCCCAACCAACTGAGCCACCCAGGTGCCCCCGATTTTCTATTATTGAATCAGTTTTGGTAGTTTGCATGTCTCCAGGAGTTGGTCCATTTCATTGAAGTTATCTAATTTGCTGGCATGTAATATTTGATAGTTTTCCCTTATAATCCTTTCTATTTCTGTAAGGTTGTTAGTGATGTCTCTCCTCTATCATTCCTTATTTCGGTAATTCAAATCTTCTCTTTTTGTTTCCTTGGTCTCTCTAGCAAAGGCTTGTCAATTTGTTAAGCTGATCACTGAATCAACTTTTGGTTTCATTGATTTTCTGTATTGATTTCTATTCTCTATGTCATTTATTTCCACACCAAACTGTATTATTTCTTTCCTGCTCATTGCTTTGGGTATGTTTGTTCCTCCTTTTCCAGTTTATTAAGGTGGAGAATTAGATTTTGAGATCTTTCTACCTTTTTAATATAGGCAGTTACAGCTATCAATTTCACTCTAAGCACTTCTTTAGCTGTATCAAGTAAGTTCTGGTGTGGTGTATTTTTGTTTTCATTTATATCAAAGTACTTAAAAATTTCTCTTGTGATTTTTTTCTTTGACCCACATATTTCCACGTATTTGTACATTTCCAAAATTTCCTTCTGTTATGGATTTCTAAATTCATTCCACTGTGGTAAAAAAAATCGTCCTTTGTATAATTTCAATCCTTTAAATTTACTGAGAATTGTTTGATGGCCTAATATATGATCTATCCTGGAAAACGTTCCATGTGCATTAGACAAGAATGTATATTCTGCTGTTATTAGGTGGAGTGTTCTGTAGGACACCTGTTAGGTCTGCTTGTTTTATATTTTTTTCAAATCTTCTATTTCCTTGTTGATTTTTGTTTAGTTGTTCTATCCACTATCAAAAGTGCGATAATAAAATCTCCACCTATTATTATTGAATTGTGATTCACCTTGTAGGACAGACTGATTTTCAGGGTGTAATTTGGGATCCAATCGACTCTGGAATAAATCTGGAGCGTTTTCACTAAGTCAAACAACTGGTACTTAAGGAGACATCAGAGGCATCTGTATTTTCCTCCTCCCCGGCTGCACATGTTCTTTGCTTTCCACTAGTACTAACCCAATCCCAAGGTCAATTCATCTCATCAGAGCTGGAATAGCTGTCTCAGATGTTCCGAAAGGAAGCAATGTTACTAGCCTAAAAATGACAGAGAGACTTGTGGCTTACAACAAAGAGGAAAGCTGTGGAGATACCTAAGAGGTAGTGGAATATAGGATCAGATTTACCCTGGGTGCTTAATAACTGCAGATTCCTGGGCTGCATTCTAGTATAACTCAATTAAAATTTCTCAGGGCAGGGCCCCAAAACATGTATTTTAGTGCTTCGTAGGCAATTCTTACACACACACACACACACACACACACACACAAGTCTAAGATCTGGAGTCTGGTTGATAAGAGTGACAAGAACATTCTCCAAAAGGGACATTCGTCTCTAAGAACACATTTCTATAGTGCATGGAAATGAGTACTTAATACATTTTCACAGAAATACTTAAAAATACGCCATGTTTCAGAATCTATACTACCTGGGCAGATTATTCTGGTGTTGAGCACAGGGAGGTTTTCTTTGCTGGCTGCCACAGCTGGACCAGAGCCAGAGTCAGTTTGGGAACGACTTGCCCGGCCATCTGGAGACCGAGGTGCAGGTGCAGTTTTAACTGTTGGCAAAAGGTCCCGATTATAAAAGAAAAAAAAAAAAAAAGGTAATGATAAAGTTTTAAGAATAAGAAAGCCCTGATAAATTCAGGACATAAAATAATTTAATGCACGTTTAAATCAATTAACAGAACTGAAAATATTACATTGTGTTTACCTATTCTTCTACCATTGTTTTCACTTCTTTGAGATTTACTGTATGGAGGGATTCGGCCACAGGTAGACGTCCTGATAACTCATTTCAAACAGAGGGAGATTAGTAGAAAATACGGGCCTACCATAATTAAAGGTCAGTAATACTCATAATTTGAATGTGGCCAACCCATATTTAAAGATAAAAAGAAATTTTGAAGACTGATGATTTTTGAAAATGGTACATATGTGTTATAATGTATACTACCAGTGTAATCCTTTTGTCATAAACGTTGGGTGAATGATCAAATTTAATTAATGTAATTCCCAGAGCTAAGATGTGAAACATGAGTTAACGTTGTCTTCCATACAGGAAAGGAAAAATGGTATTTTTTTCAAATGAAACCAATATTTGTTTTCCTGCACTTCTCAATTAACTATATATTCAGAACAAAATTTTGCCCAAAATACATCTATCATATTCTTTCAAATGTTCAATACATTTAAAAAATTATTCCAAAACAGAATTACTCTTAAAGTCAACAAAAAAAAAGAGATTTAATTCTGTCTAAACTAGGGCAATTTAATGGAGAACAAATAGTATCTTTAACTAATTTAGGAGCTATTGGCAGGTGTTTAAAAAAAACAGTATTCCTCAAACTCAATTTAAAAATACTCAAAAATTTGATTATCTTTACTCTCCCTAAGACTAATTACAAACTAACCATATTAATCTTACACTCTCTTCTCTTTCTTCAAAAACAGTCCAGTTGCACTAAAGAAAAGTAGCAGACAGACACTTTTTTTTTTGGACAGATGCAAGACCTGGAACTAATTTCTAATAAAAACAACCTTTTGATATTCATCTCTGATAAAAACCAGAGAGCATCTTAGTGACTAAGATTGATGTAACATTGCAGGTAACTAAATTAATGTTTCATGGTTCTTCTTAAACATAAGATCTCATTGATCATATTAATATACTGTATGGTACATTTCAGGCATATGAATCATTGCATAATTTAATAATACAATGAATGCTCTTCAAAAAGTAATGATTATTTAATACAGAAATACTTCTATTACTATTGATTCCCACTAAATCGGATTACTAGCTAGAAAATAAGATCAAATATTGCAACATTAAGGTATCCAATGTTGCAATATGTGTAAGTTTATGTCTATTTCAATATCAATATTTATAGCTGCATGATTTTATTTTTTAGTTTTCTTTGCAGACTACAATGGAAGTGTTCAGTTCATGAGAACGTAGTAAGACAGAATGGTAGCCAGTTGGAAAATCATTAGCAATGAGTGCTGGAAAGCCAATCCTCCAAAGAAACCATGCCTTATCTTAAGGGAAATGATCAAGCAGCATACTCTAAGAATGCCATTGTCAGCCCTGCTTAAGTCAGCTTTCTTAATGGATGAAGACATACAAGTCCTGCTTATTAAACTCTAGATGAAGTAAGTTTGAGATGATACAATCAAGCTTCAAAAGATTTTGACAGGATGCAATGATAGATCCAAATCGAAAAGATAAAAGTTCATAGGGATGAGCATGTACTACTCTAATTAGGTTCTAATTAGGTTTTAAAAAAAATCACTTGCACAAAAATAAGAGGAGATCCGGTTTATAGAGTATTACAATATAATACTTCATGCCAAGAAAAAATCTTGGGTAGTCCTTAGAACATAAAAAAATGTCCAGAATGAGTAGTGTATGGCTATCAGTGTGATATTATACTACAGACATATCAGGGGGATTGTGTTCAAAATGGGGCATCATATTGACCAATTGAGTGCAACCAGAAAAACTAAAAAGTTTGAAATCGAGTTAAAAATTGGTAAAAGAATTGAGGAGATAATGTGGAAAAGAAGATATAAGGTGTGGGAAGAGGCCATGAGGCCATGAAAGCTGTTTCCAGTACCATTTAAGGCTGTCACATGGCAGAGTTATCTTCAACACCCTGAAGAAATATATATGAACTTGCTTTTAAGCGACCCATAAAGCACCACACCAAAAGTCAGCAGTTGTTACTGTTACCATTATCATACATAAAACTTTATTAATTAGTGTGCCCATGGGTATAAATTTAAAGAAGAAAATATAAAGCTGAATATAAAGAAAAACCTTCTAACAATTAAAAGCTGATCTTAAGAATGGGATGTATCGAAAGTGAGCACCTGGCTGGCTCAGTCTGCAGAGCTTGCGACTCTTGATCCTGGGTTCGTGAGTTCAAGCTCCACGTTGGATGTAGAGATTACTTAAAAACATAAAATAAAATATCTAAAATGAACCGAAAAAAGAAAGTGAGTGGTCCAAAGGCTCAATGGCCATCTGTCAAGAGGGTTCTAAAGTATGCCTGTATTGGATTATATGCTGCAACAGGGATCTTTAAGGTCTACAGGGTGTAAGGTTGTAGAGTTGAGCTGTGTGCCGGAATAGGTACATTTCAAGTCTAAAAGGGCTACGGGTGTAGAATATGTATGCGTTGGTTGTATGTCAGACATGTGAAGCTATAAGGTCTACTTTCAAAGTTTCTGAGAGTTTTACATTCCATTAAGGAGCATTCTTTCGAAGCTGATGTAATTAGCAGCCAAAGCAGTGGAAGGAGTAGCACTAGTAAAAGAATGACAGAATTTTCTAGGCACTCCCCATATACAACGTCTCCAACCTTCACAGCTAGTAGGCACATCATTATCCCCATTTTACAAATGAGGAAACCGCCAAGAAATTAAGCAATGTGCCCAAGTCTATATGTCATGAAAGTAAAGCAGGAACTTAACGATTGCAGTTCTGAGTTAATAGTGTTGAGTTTTCATTAGTACCATGCAATTATTTTCATATTATCTTCTCAGACTCATTAATACTTTAATTTCTGCTTTGCTTTATTCTAGTAAATGAATAATCATTCCCTTATACAATCTGAAATATTAAAAGTATAAATTCATCTTCAAACTTAAAAGGTAGAGGAATAATTACTATTCTTCAAGTGACTACATATTAATTTCCTGGCAAATATGATTTCAGTAGAGATAGGGTTGTAATTAGATGTCCAATGATTTTGAGGATTAATTTAGCAATAAGAATTAGCAAACTGTCCAGGCTGATCAATGGAATTCAGGGGACTGCTCAATTATTTAAATGGCAAGTTCTGTGCATATGTGACATGCAGTTTTCACATAATTCTCAAAGGCATCTGTGGGCTAAAGACAGGTTAAAATATGCTGATTTAGGTGTTTCTTCCCTTCTTCCTCAGGAAAATTAAGATATTTAGCCATGTTTGGTTCCATAATCCTTAGTTTATTATGATAATCTCCAGATTATATGACAAGAAGGGATGTGGGAGTACTTGACAATCATCTAAATGTTACCTTTATTATTTTAGTATTCATAAATATCTAAGCTTTAACTTCTGAAAAGCCTTGTTAAAAATAAAAATACAAAGTTTATTTCAAACTGAAAAGCCTTTTGAAAACTAAAAACAGAGTCGTATTCTATTTAATTCCAAAGTAATTAGTTTTCTTACCAGTTAATGACTCTTTTGCATCATCGTCTTTAGATTCTTCTTTAGATTCATCTGTTTCTGTACTATCATTAACGAATGACTGGTTAACTGGTTCACAGGGATGAACACTCTGGTCATCCATAACTTTAAGTAGTAAGTAGAGAAATATGTTTGGACAAGTAAAAATAAAATCCATAAATATTAATATATGCTTAAAAAGAAAAATGAAACATAAAGCAAAAGAAATTCCATATTCACAAATAAACAGTAACTGGTAATAAGTTTGGGGGTAATATCTATAAGTACTAGAGATTATAAAACTAAATATTTAAAATTGTAAAAATTATATTTTTATCAGAAGAAAAAATAAAAGAATTCGAGAATGAAATACAAGTCCAACTACAAGTCACAACCTATGAAGTGTTTTCAAATATTAATTTTTTATGTTAAAGTTAACTTTAGTCCACTCCTAAAACTCTAAGAGAAGTATATACATTATATTCATACAAAAAATTAAAATACAGGCAGAACCTTTATAGACTCTTTAAAAAGCAACATAAACATTTAGGAAATGAATTTAAGAAAGTATTTTCAAAGTAGTTTACAGGTTTGATTTTCTTTAAGAACTCAACAGATTCCAATTAGGTAAAAGATATTTAAAATTTTATAATTGTAACTTAAAGTAATTTTCAATGTTTCCAGTGTATTTTTATCTTTGAGATGTTATTTCATGTATCATTAATATGCTGATCCTCACATTAATATCATATGCAGATCTTACTAAAACAACAAAGAAGACTTAGTACAAATTTCATTCTGTTGGCCTTATCTTCTGTCCTGCCTGAAAATTTTGTGTGTGCGTGCAGTCTGACCAATATTAAAATGCCACGATGCTTACAAGATAGGACTGCGGCTAACTTCTTCAAAAGCTAACTTTGTTCATGTGTACCTTTGCCGGCTTCTTCAATGACTTGTCTCACCGCTTTCTTTAAACTGTTTGCCCGCAACATTATTTCCTTTGGTTTGACAGCTTTCTGGGAGGGAGGTTTTGCAGGGTTATCCACGAGCTGTTCTTTGCTTTCACACAAGGATTCTTCACTGGAAGATTCCACGGTATCTTCTTCTACAATGAGAGAGTGGATGCCTGGGAGAAGGGGGGCAGCCTGGGAATCTGCGTGTAAAGCTTGAAGCAGTTGTTCAAGCTTTTCATTTAGGACCGAACACTAAGGAAACAAAAATACAGCAATGAATATCCACTGGGTGGAAATGGAAAAGGACAATTTGAGTGAATCACTTCTGATTTTGGAGGAAAGATGCCTATATTAATATTTACCAATTAATTGGCTATCCATTGTAAATTATACTTTAGACAGCTTGTAGACTAAATAATCATTTTTGTGAAAGAGCACAATTATGCAAATTTTTATGTGTGCTTCCAGAATACTCCAACTCTACCATCTTTATATAATTATTTTTCCTTAAAAGAAAATCTCTATCATCTTTATATAGGTATTTTTCCTTAAAAGAAAAGAACAAACACTTCATTTCAAAGTGACACGTTCCACAAAAAACTTATGCAAAACTTATACAAAATATTGTGTAAGCTTTTTTTTCCCTAAAGTAATCGACGTATGGTACCGTTTTGAGCAACATAAACTGAAGGTCTGGCTGAGTCTTGGTAAGCTCTCCTTCAAAGCTTTGGTTGTGAAAGAGGTGAACGGTGTCTACGGGATTACTGGCTCAAAAAAAGAGCAAAAAGGAAAATGCACAAGGATAAAGAAGAAAAAGAAGATGCAGAAAGAAAAACATGCACTCCGCCCTTGTTTCTGTCTGCTTCTCTCGATTGACTAAGGGTAAAGAAACATGGAGGGCTGAAGCTATTGCTAAGACTGCCCTAATACATCTTTTATTGCCACACAGGTTCCCATCCTTCCCTCCTCCATTTATTTGTCCTTGATGTCATGCTAAGACGAGGCTATAGCAGAAACAGTTAAGAGAAAAAAACATGGCTAGAGAAGTCTTCTGTTTTCTGAAGCGCTCCACAGAAGAGAAAAATAAGAAAAAAGAGGCTGAAAACATCAAATGTCTGTTTATTTCTATTTCCTTTTCCTTTCACTCAATTAAACCACCATCTACAGCATAAATCTGGAGATCATTCCTTTGCAAGCCCAAGAAAGCCAAACCTTTTGTAGGAATGCCCTGTCATGAACAAATGAAAGCAAAGAGAATAGCTTTTAAGGTTCTTACTTAACCTCAGAAAGCTCATAAAGGGGAAAAAAATCTATAAAGAAAAAGGCAAAGCAAGAAAATAGAACCCTGAAAGGGGCCAAGAACCATAATGTCTGGGGAACCCAAAGAACCACGCAAGGGGGGAGCCTGATGACCAGTTTCCCTGGAAATGGAAAGCCATTCCTCTCCCCACTGGAACACCAGCCGCCCAGCATTTTCCCCCACATGACCCTGCTGCTGAGCATTTCTCCTTGGAGATGTCAATCTGTGGGAAAAGGGAGTTGATATAAAATTCAGGATGTCGGATGGTCTTCAGCAATGCAGTTTTCCTACATATTCCAGGGTAACTGTAAAATAGAATATATTTTAATCCCTTACATCTGATTCCAAAGTAGTTTTTCTCTTGATTTAAGATGTTTTGGCAAGAAAGTCACTTAATCAATTTAGCTGTGAAACAGTACAATGTTAAGGTTGTCAGTAAAAAACTTGCACACCCTGGGGCGCCTGGGTGGCTCAGTCGTTAAGCGTCTGCCTTCAGCTCGGGTCATGATCCCAGGGTCCTGGGATCGAGCCCCGCATCGGGCTCCCTGCTCCGCGGGAAGCCTGCTTCTCCCTCTCCCACTCCCGCTGCTTGTGTTCCCTCTCTCGCTGTATCTCTCTCTGTCAAATAAATAAAATCTTTAAAAAAACAAAATAAAAAAAAACCTTGCACGCCCTGAAGGTGACCCCCTTACTTTACTGGCCACGGCGTCGGCTGCAACGGCGTTTTCCAACGTTTTTTCGTAGGCCTTCTCTACTTTGGCAACAAAGTCCTTTACAGTTTCACAGAGTATCCTTGGAGGAAAAGAAATTGTGCAATTCAGTAAACCCTTAGACTGGGTTGGTTTGATTCACAAACATATTTAAAAACAAGCACAATTAGGTAAACTGTCAAAGCATAGGGACCATTTGTATGTAAAACCCACACTTCTACGTGTTGTGTAACACGTACTAGTAAGTTCCAGACATTCTGAATTACAAAGGGAAATGCACACGAATAAAACTTTGCTCTGTGTAAATTAAATGCTCGTCGTTCTAAGGTCGTAACAAGCCTTTCTCAAATATCTAAATTAAGCTCTTGAGAAGAGTATTTGTAGATCTCATTAAAAAAAATAAGCATTATGTTCAGTTAGCCAACATATAGTCCATCATTCGTTTTTGATGTAGTGTTCAACGATTCATTAGTTGCGTATAATACCCAGTGCTCCGATAAAAAAAATTAAAAAAATTTTTAAAACCACACAAGATATCACTAAAAAAATATAAGCATTATCTCCAGCACCTTACATATTTTCATAACAGAACTTGCAATGTTAAAAAAAAAAAAGGATAAATTTGTCACTTGATGTTGTCTGTCACTCTACTACTCATGATCCAGGTATCCTGAAAGTATATTGTTCCTGAAGAGGAAAGGGATTGTGTAAACAACCTGCCACTTGAATTGAGTTACAGTCTCCGTAAATCCATTCGTTTTTTCCCTTAAGGTAACCAGTACAGTCATATGCAAGACTAACTTAATTTAGATCTTGTTAGTGTCAACAATATATGGTTTACTTGTTTGTTGCTTTTAATTACATTTGGTTTCTTTGCAATAGAAATAGATCAAAAGACAAAATAATCTGAAACCCTAACACTAACTAAAATCTGTCTTTCAGAAGTCTATGGGACTGGTGCTGGATTACAAACAACCCAACAGAACGGTATGTGACCAGTTTTCTGTAGCAAGGGCTAACAGTGATTCTGAAAACAAAATCAGATGATATTAAATTAATAGTATTTCTCTTTATTATGGATACAGACTAAGAAATTTGAAGGAAAAAAACCCAGGTTCCAGCAATTACTTTTTTTCTATTAAACTCACAGTTTTCTCTGTTACGTGAGTGACATGATTATGTTTCCAGATATTTAAATATTATGACATCAAGCCATTCAGTAGATACAGTACACACACACACCCCAAACCTTCACATTTATCATCTAAAAAATAAATGAATTATTCCTAAGAATTTTTGTTTTCTTTGTTGTTTCTTGGTAACCATTTCTAGATTTTTACTTGGACAAAAAGCAATATTTCCTAAACTTCAACCTCTTTGTTGGCTTTTTAAATTCACATTTCTCCAGAGGCTCTAGCTTACTACTAGAGATGCATTCATGTGCTTTACCTCAAGTTTTGTCTTCTTTGTTCATGTATACTACTTTTATGGACCTTCTTGAAATATTAAGTCAAGCTGTCATGAAATTTTTTCTATGAACTTTACTGAAAGTTTCTCTAAAATGTCCCACCTCTGAGGAGAGGAGACACTGACCGTCCTCCCACTTTATGTAACTCTAAAATAGAGGTTTTCCTTGCTATTATTACAACACTTTGTTGATAAAATTTTCTCCTGTGAAATTTATGAAACTGCATATGCCATAACATTACCATAGCTACTTTTGCTGGTATTTTACTAACTCCTAGGAACAGAGCCTATTTGTCCATCAGTCTAGGAATGAAAGGGGCAACAAAGGTGCCGTGATGCTCAGGCAGATGGAGGCTGAAGGAATAGAGTATGATTCTGTGTTAGAGATTACTTGCCATGTAAGTTGTGGGAGGGATCAGAAGAAATGGTCTACCTTAGAATCCAATAAGTTTCATATTCCAGAAGACATAAAATATTACACTCTGGAGAAATGAACTAACTTTTTATTATACCAAAATAGTGAATGTAGAATTCTTAAAATTGAAATAAAATGTACACCTAAAAATAGCATGATTTCAAAGTCATACCACCTGGGAACTTGCAAATTGGAGAAAAACAATTTTAAGATGTATTTGCTATGATAACATGGAAGACATTCTCCAACTGATACAGTTTTCTACTTTAATGCATAAATACATCTGGAAAAGACGTGCAAAAATCAAATAAATGGAAGTGGAATGTGGATTTTCCCATAGGGCTATAAAAATTTTTAATCCCTAATTATATCTTAAACCAATGTTAGTCATAATTTTGACAAGATATTTCCAAGCATTCTATTTCTTTAATTTTGTTCTCTTCCTTCCAAGTTGAGCACAAATATGCAGTTGATATTGCACCAAATATTCAGTTGAAGCTAACAAAAGTCCATATTTAGCAAGCTTGATGATTTCCACTATCACTGCAATTATATTGTATTCATGAGATCTATACTTTTTATCACTAGTAGCAGTATCTTCATTTATCATTCATTTATCTTCATTTTCCACATATTTTTTAATAGGGGCAAATGACAAAATATGCAAACACTACACTAAGAAAAATATGGCGATGGTGCCCAAACGGATGCACATACTGGCAGGCAGGGGTCATCCTATAAGAATCTGAAAAATTCATTTTCCATCTGATGTAAAAAAGTTCCAATCAGAAATTAAAGATGATTTACAAGTATCTGTGCATAATCTTAGCTATCTCTGTGCTCTGAGGAAACATTCTAACAACTACGTATCTTACCTCACCTATTCAATGGGGGAGGGGGGGTTGCCTAAATTATCTCTAAGATAGATACCAAATCTGAAATTCTGTGGTTCTATGAGAATAGTTCCAATCTTATTTTTCCTGGCAAATGATCTCATTTTCTAAGTTCTGTCTACAGAACAAATTGCATTTATTTAATAACTTTGCTTTGTATTTTTATTAATAAGTGACACCTATAATTGCTGACTAATGCTTCTGATTCTTAGAAGGTAACTCATGTTACCATACCAAACTGACAAAATTTCAAAATCAAAGAAATGCTGACATTATGTTGGTGAACCCATAGTAACTACATTAGTTAACCTACATATTAGCTATGCTAATGGAATATAGCTTTTCCATCAGTATTTTCAGCTTTTTAAAAAGAGTTAAAACAGCTTAAGCTACTGGGAATTACTATTTAATAAAACAAATATAAACATGCACCGAGAGGGTTAAAACATTCTGCCTTAACAGTGTATCATTTAACAAGTAAATGGCATTATCAAAGGAAGGGAATTCTTTGTTATCTAGGTGGTGGTTACAAGAATATGTATGTGAACACGTGTATGTGTGTTCTTCTTTCTCATCACTAAGCTGTACCCTTATGATTTGGGCACTTTACTGTGTATATATCATCCCTCGATAACAAAAAAAACTTTTTTAAGCAGGGAGAGCTATTATAGATTTTACAAGTCTTTAAAATACCTATAAACCAAATGCAGTATCTGAACCTTGTTTGGATTTTGATTTGAACAACTCAACTGTTCAACAAAAACTTTGAGATAATTAGGGAAAATGGAACATGGATTGAGGAATATAGATAGTCTTAGAGAATTGTTACTAATTTTATTAAACTTTTTAATAAGACTATTAGGTATATATACTGAAAGAACAAAATGATTTCTGGGATTTGCTTAGAGATACTATAGCAAAAGAAAGTGGGAGTGGATGACAAAATTTTGATAAATACTGAAGCCATGTGATGGGTATGGTGGGAAACCATTATACCAGTCTCTCTACTTTTATGTATGTTTGAAAATGTTAATAACAAAAATTAAATTTAAAATAATGCCATATTACCGGTACAAATTTACTACATTTTGTCCTTTCTTTTCTCTTGGACCTCTTTATGGCAAATCCCCTAAAATTTTAATCTGGAGTTATAAAGACAGGACAGCTGGGCAGACTGGGAGCACAGATGAGTGACAAGAGGGGACCAGGGGTGGAATAGAACCTGTTTCAAGGCAAATGAGCTGGTCAGAGAGAAATCCAAAGCTAAAGCTAATAGTAGAGCCTAGACAAAGACCCAGGCAAAGGTCGGGGCGCCTGGGTGGCTCAGTCGTTAGGCGTCTGCCTTCGGCTCAGGTCATGATCCCAGGCTCCCGGGATCGAGCCCCACATCGAGCCCCACATCGGGCTCCCTGCTCAGCAGGAAGCCTGCTTCTCCCTCTCCCACTCCCCCTGCTTGTGTTCCCTCTCTCACTGTTTCTCTCTGTCAAATAAATAAATAAAATCTTAAAAAAAAAAAAAAAAAAAAGAGCCAGGCCAAGGTCAAACAAAAAATTTGAATGTAATTGATTAAAACATGAGATGATGATACCATAATTTAATATAGCACTCTGTAGTTTATAAGCTCTATATTTATTTCATAAATCAACTTAATTCTCTCAACAGTTCCATGAGGGAGAAAGGACAGGCATGCTTTCCATTCTTACACTTGATAAAACAGACACAGGCCACAAAGCTACCAAATGTTTGAATCTCAGCTAGGACCTCAGATTTACTCCTACTTGGTGCAACATTGTGATTTACTCCAGTGGTTTTCAAGCTGTTTTCCAGAAACACTTCAAAGATTCTGCAAATACTTGATTCAAATTTCATTTAGAAATATAAGATACAATTTTTTTACATGCTCAAATAATCATTAGAGATATTAGAGACAAATAATATACTAGCTTCTACTTTAGAATTCACATTTTTTGTGCAAATCTTAGACTATATTTGATGCAGTTTCCAGTTATTTCTGTATTTTATTTCAGTTACATGGCAGTAAGGAAATAAGATGCAGAAATAACTAGAAACTAGAAACATCAAATACAAAATTATAACTGTCATCTATAATTATAGCTTAATTTTCCTCATAAATGACTAATAATTTAATCCTGTCCCATTTATTAATGACAACAAAATAGCTTTTTAATCTTTTAAATATTGGAATTCTACATAAAATTTAATGAAAGACAATGTTAAAAGTCAATTATATCTCAATTAAAAACATGTAAAAATGTAGAGAAGGCAGTAATCAAACACATCAAACACATGCAGGCCAATATTAAGGATTCGCTGACATCCAAACTATGAAAGGGGCCAGATAAAATATTTACTTAACTGCATCAAAGAATAATTCTTTTATAACTTGTTATACTTTTAAAAAGTTTCCATTTCAGTTTTCCATCTTTTCTAGCAAGATCTTCTAAATGTCCTATAAAAAAAGCATTTGATTCATAGGGCAAGGGTGGCAAATGCAAATGTTTTCCTTGTAGAAGGAGCTTAGGAAGTACCTAAGGAATGGCTTTGGTATATAAATTTGCCCCAAGATGAGGAAGACAATAGGGAGTGCTGAGGCCTGGGACAAACTGGAGATTTCCACATTTCACCGTAAGGCAATACAATTTGGTCAGAAAATGCCCAACCAAACAACAGCGACAGAAAACCAGCAGCAGCACTCTGCGTCAAACACCGTGTCTGCAGCCCACCTCTCTGGGCAACCAGGGTGCGCCCCTGACTTAAGCTCCTCAACGGCTCCTATCACTCAGCCCTGTTTCCTATCCCTGGGGCTTATGGCATCAAAAGCAACTGTCACTACATTTATACTTGTCCCAAGCAAATCTGTTTATAATGATTTATCTTGTCTTCCCTTGATTCTTTGCAAAGTAAGTATATAATATACTAAAGTTGGTGTATTTTGCCCCCACCACTTCCCTAATCCCTCACTCTCTTTCTTTCCTTCTTCTTTTTCTCCTCTTTCTGTATAAGAGTAATATTTCCTTGCTAAGCCAGAATCCCAAAGCATACTTGTACTCTTGCTTATCAGTTGAAAATGTCAGTGGGTTTCACCCTTCCCTCTAGTTGACTTTCTAGGTCTTGGGACATCAGTATGGGATGCTTTAGAACTAAATTCTACATTCCAGGCAGGCAACATTTGGGATAATAAAATCAAGTAGCTCTGGCTCCATGTACAGAATCAATTTAACTAAAATCTGATAACTTTGAATTAAAATATAATTATGTAATTTAAACATGCTGATAAATGTCATTTGGAAAAATCTCTTCAATATTTTCCCTTTCCTGATGTAAACAGTTCCTAAAGAGTAGTGTTTATGGAAATAATAAATGATAGTGAAATGTGTTTTCATATTATAATTAATCATAAATACTTCTTTATTTATTTTTAATTTTATTTATTTTTAATTTTTTATTTAAATTCAATTTAGTTAACAGATGAATGCTTCTTTAAATAGGAGCTTAGACTGATTAAACTCTAAACACTTACCAAACCATTCTGATAAAAATGTTTCAGATTAAGCATCCAAAAAAAACCCCTCTAAATATATACTTCACTGCAAATAAGATGCTAAAGTGATTAAAAAAAAATGCAAGTTTAGTATATCTAATTCTGTAAGCTACTTCACAGATTTTTGGGGGAGGAAAAAAATCACAAAAAAGTGACATAAATGGTAGGAACGAGCATTTTCACCATATTTCATGGCTTCAACTCCATCACTCACTTGGCAGATGATATGACCACGGCATGTTCATCAGAATTGAGGATTTTTGTAAGATGAGCTGCGACAGAGTCCTCATAAATTGTCATCTGAAAACAAACAAAAAACCCCTATACTGTATTATTGTTTCTGGCATTTATACCGCTCGGTTATTACTGCTTCTAAAATGGGACTGTTCAGGACACACGTGACACAGGGCAATGAATATAATGACATATACAAAAGAGTTATCATAGGAAATAAATAAAACTTTCTTTCTGTAAAAGGCTTTTCGCTTCTGAAACTCCTTAATCTATAGTCTTTAAAAAAAATCCATAAAATTCATTAAATTAAAAAAAATGTCGAATAGCTGAATAGAGAAAGAACCCCTGCGAGTCGGCACAAAAAAGTGCCAGACGACCTAATGAAAAATGAGCAAAAGGCTATAGAAATTTAAAGAGGAAGATATACCAATGGACTACCACCAAAGACAGGTGATCAAGCTCATCAGCCATCAGGCAAACACAAACCAAAACCACAATGTGGTTCCACCGCGTCTGCCAGAAGAGCTACAATGAAAACAAAAGCAGCAACTAGGCCTGGGAAGAGCCAAATACTGGCGAGGTTGTGGAGGAACAGAACTCTCATTCGCTGCCGCTCCCGGTAGGAGAGCAGGAGTTGATACAAATACTCCAGAAAGCTGCTGGGTGTCTATCAAAGCTGAGCATACGCATATACCATAAGACCCAGCAATTCCATTCCTACATATGTATATACCCCCAAAGAAATGCGATGTGCGTTCACCAAAAGACACGTGCTAGAAAACGTTCACAGCAGCCTTCATTCAATAGTAGCATGGATAAGGGCACCCGAGTGGCTCAGTCGGTTAAGCGTCTGCCATCAGCTCAGGTCATGATCCCGGGGTTCTGGGACTGATCCCCGCCTCGGGCTCCCTGCTCAGCAAGGGAGCCTGCTTCTCCCTCTCCCTCTGCCTGCCGCTCCCCCTGCTTGCGCTCTCTCTCTCTCTCTGTGTCAAATAAATAAATAAAATCTCTAAAAAAAAAATAGCAGCATGGATAACAGATTGTAGCCTATCTGTGCAAGGGGGTACTATGGGGCAATGAGGATGCTGTGATTTACAGCTGTGCCACAAGATGGATGAATCTCCCGGACGTCATGTTGAATGAAAGGATTCAGAGAAGGGCTGCTTACAAAACGATTCATTTCATAAATACAGAAACAGACAAAAATAATCTATGATTTTAGAAGCCAAGAGAGTGGCTCTTGGGGTGGGAGGTGGGGGTGGTGAATGGAAAGGGGCATCGGGGGGCTCGTGGGGTGCTGGTAATGCTGCCTTGTGATTTGGGCATTCATGACATGGGTTCATTTACCTTGTGGAAAATTAGCAACTGTACATTTATGATCTGTGCGCTTTTCTGTATGTAGAATTCAATAAAAAGTTTTTTAGAATGCTGAATGCACTGTGCTACAACCATGTAAATAAATCTCTCAGAGAAGGAAGGAATCAAAATGCTCAGGGAGTCCTATGTCCCCTTTTCTGTGTGACTCAAAATTTAACATCCTGTTGAAAGAACATATCTTCCTAATAAGTAAAAATGTGCACAATATCTAAACAGCCTCAATTCAGAGCCTTCCATCAAACGTCTGCCTCAAATATATACCATGTCCTACAGCTCAAAAATTTCCAGTGTAAACCACCTGCTCTATTCAAGCTGCCTCCTGTGCTCTTCTATCCTACTCAGATGTCCTTTCATTGCTTCTTACCCATTAGCATCAGTTTATTCAGACTTAAATGAAGATCCAATGACCAACCGCCCCTCCTTTAAAGCCTTCCTGACTAGCATCTTCCCAAAGAGATCTCATTCCCGATTTCCATCCAGTTCCACCAGTGGCTAATCAGTATGTTAGTCTTTTGAATTTCAATCTTACTTTCTTCACGGGCAGAAAGACAAGAGGGGGGGATCCTCAAAGCCTCACACAATATTGTGTTCACTTGCAAATCCACTTCACTCATTTTCTAGTCTGAACATTAAAAGCTGCATCTTTACAGTCAAGATCAGAAAAATGAAAATATAACTTTTTAAAAAGCAACGAAGGGAAATATTTTTCAAAAAGACAGTTTTATTTCTTTTCCCTACAGGACAGATTGTCATAAAGCCTAAGAAGGTAGGGAAAATATTTTATCTTTTTTTTTTAAAAAAGATTTTATTTATTTATTTGACAGAGAGAGAGGGAACATAAGCAGGGGGGAGTGGGAGAGGGAGAAGCAGGCTTCCCACAGAGCAGGGAGCCCGATGCGGGGCTCGATCCCAGCACCCTGGGATCACGACCTGAGCCAAAGGCAGACGCTTAATGACTGAGCCACCCAGGCGGCCCAGAGAAAAATATTTTAAACTCTCATTAATTCCATTTGAAGGTACATGTAAAAATTCAAGTTTTTTTCCTTTAAAAATAACCAAAGGCAAAGAATACAACCTCTTCCAGAGGTAAAAGAAATAACCTCTCTGTCCAAAGATAAAATAATTGATGTCATTTATTAATCTATTATGTAGTCACGTAGAGTCAGGAAGTTAAGGTAATAATAATAATTATTTTTATTGTGTATCAGGCACTGTGATTAAGCATTCTGCATGTATTTATCCCATTAATTGTCCTGTTTCACGGCCAAGGGGCGTTAGGCTCAGGAGAGTTGACCAATTTGCCCAAGACCCACAGCTAATGAAGAAAAGACAAACTAGGGGGCTGGGTCTGTGGCTTATCCCACCATACTGCCTCCCCCACCCCGCAGCAAGTCTTGGTCTTGGTTAACACTATTTGTCAAATATAAATTTTGTCATTTCTCAAGTGTATCATTATAACAGCCTGGTAGTTGGGATCTCTATCTCTCTCTTCCTCCTCTCAAACCATTCTCCACTTCATGACACAGTGATTTTTTTCTAAAACAGAAATCTGATCATGACACATCTCTGCTTAACATGTCTGAGGGGATTCCCCCCACCCTTACATTTCAGATAAAGTCAAAACTCTTCAGCTAGCAAGCAAGACCTTCCATAATTCCCAGGATTCTGCATGATCTGAACCCTTCTTCTCTCCCCTGTCACGTCTTTTGATGCTCTTCCCTTGCACGACCCGCTCTAACATGACAGTATTACCTGAAGTGACCCGAATGTACCAAGGTCCTTACTATCAGGTTCTACGCCATGCTCTTTCTCAACTGGCTAATTCCAACTTCTCTTTTTTTGTGCTGAAAACCCAGCTTAGGTACAACCTCCTCTGTAAAGACTTCACTGAACTTGCCAGACAAAGAATCCTCTCTTCTGTGCAACCATTATACCCTGGAGAGAACTTAAACATAACTGATCATTTATTGTCTGTCCCTCCCAATAGAACAGAGATTCTCCAACTTTCTGGCCTCATCGCATCCTTAATGTCTGAATGATTTTGTCACAATATCCCTAGGCCAAAAGGAATACCTAACAGTAGTTAAGTACAAACAACTTAATAAATATTTATGTCCTAACAACTTAAGAGCCCTTTGAAAAAATAATAAATATAATTTAAAAGAAAAAACCATATCTTATTTCATGCTTAAATAACTAGCTGTGAGCCTGTCGGCACTGTATACATCTCAAGCCTTGAAATCAACAGATTGGACGATAACAACATTAATTCCTATTCAACACTAATTGTTGTGTGGTGTTTGCTTTTGATCACAGTGACTACTGAAAACCCAAGCTTCACAAAAATATGATGTCATCAAAAGGAATGTAGTGCAACCTAATGTTTAAGCTGTCCTTTAAGCTAGCAGTCTGTATGGTGTCCAATACATTTGGACAAGCTAGTAGTCTGTATGGTGTACAATAGATGCTGAGTATTACAATTAAATTTTCTTTGAAATTTAAAAATATCTCCTGGTAGCCCTTGGGGCTCACCATGATGTCCTGAGACCCCTGCACACAGCTTAGGAACCACTACTCTAAGATGACTGAAGTGGGAGGGCAAGGCCTTTATGTCCACTCCCAGATACCAACAGGCATTTAATATTGTTAAATTTACGAACAAATAAAGTTATAACATCTTAGCATGCTGTAACGAAGCAGCTAGGAAACAGAAAGAACTGGGGGGAGAGAAGTTTCGGTAAGAGTAAATTTAACCACAAATTAATAGGAAGAATTTCATTTCCAGAGATTGAGGCCATTCTCTCCCATTTTCGGGGAGTTGGTGGAGATACAGCAGCTCACACCTTCTTTTTGATGACCTTACCATTAATAAATAAGCAGCTATTGACTCACTAGGCTGGTGTGATTGGGGTATCATACAAAAGAGACTGAAACTATGACTCTTGCATCAAAAAAGTTTTTAATCCAGTCCGAAAGCAATGGGAATCTGGCTTCCAAGAAATAGACAAGGCCAGCGGGCTTTGATGCCAAGACGCCCATAGTTCCAAAAGCGTTTGGTATTTAGAACAAAAATTAACAATAAGAATTTTTTATTAACTGTCCACTTTGTGCCAGTCACAACACCAGATGACAACACAATGGTGAATAAATAACACATTGCCTGGTCTTGACAGTACAATAGAGCCAAGATAATGGAAGGTGATAATGGAAGGGGGCCATGGAACTTGTGAGGAAGGAGATGGTACTAGGGCTTGGGGGATGAGGGATGGCTTCTTGGAGCAAGTGATACCTGAGGTGAGGACAGGCATGAACGGAGCATGATGTCACTGGGGGGACACATATTCATTTGCAAAGGGGTAGAGGCGAAAAGAACATGATGGCAAGGGGATTTCAGGTTAAATGTAAGCAATACGTTTTCTAATATTGAGTATTAACAGAACCATTGTTACTGAAGGAAATCATGAAATCCTTGTTTTTGCTATGTTTAAAAAGTCCAACAGCCACAAGGAATTAATCAATAAAACTGTCACAATTCTTTAAGCTCTGCAGCTCTACGATGCCAGTGGAATGGTAAGTTAATAAGATAATTAGGAAGTTCGACCACATTTGTGCCCTTTTAAGGAAAACTGGAAAAATAGTAATTTCACAATCATGCATAAAGGAATTTAAAATGAATACTTAAAAAATACAAGCTGGGAAATCAGGTTGAGCCTAAGAAGGAAGGTTCAGCTTGCTTTTATTACAGCTTTAAAGACAAAAAAGTCACATGGCAACTAGTCGGAGTGATGTAGAATGTTCATTTAACTTGTAATCTTAAGGCATGCCATTCCTGTGTTATGAAATATTTTAATAAAAAAACAAATTAAATTAGGTTTCATTCAAAACCTTTTATACTAAAAGATTTTTTTCCATGTAGTTACAACTGTTTCTCATATTCAGCGACTATATGTATGTAATAAAAGTAAGTTGTTTACCTTCATTATTTTGTGCCAGGAAATACACATCTCTAAAGTAAATAGAACAAAAAATTCCCCCTTTTGTCCTTTTGGGGAGAAAATTAATAACATTTACAAAAATACTATTAAGAGAAAAGACTGGTTTCTATAAGAACAAGTACTATATTTATAGTTGGATAAAATAATACTATAAATAAAAATGCTGCTGAAAATAAAATAGTAAATGTATCAATCTTTAACAGTAATTATCTTTGGGTGTCAGGGTTATAGTAAGATTATTTTTTCATATATTTTTGTATTTTCCATATTTTTTAGAAGCAGTTTTTGCTACTTTTAGAGCAAAAAAAGGTGTCAAATTACAACTAGCTTCTTTAAGGAATAGCCCCGTTTCTAGTTATCATTCCTTTCCTTAGTTTTGATAAGTTCATAATTTTCTTAATGAGAAAACAAAGATTTCAACTGTCAAATAAACAGATGAATTTTCCTACAGGGAAAAATAAGCTATTATAGATCAAACGGTTTGTCAGTCAGAGAATAATCCTTTGAAAATTAGGATCTGTTTCAATTCTCCAGTGCTGTGAGGTTTAATCAGAACACTCAATCTTTAAAAACATCTAAAAACTATAGTTATCACTGGTCTGTAGCAGGGATGGGATGAAGTGAGCTTTCTTCTTCTGTTTTATCTTGATCAATAGACTTCACCAGGAAACTTATAATGGTGAACCCTCAACGAAGAGGCAAAGTAGGAAGACAGAAATTATATAATACTCTGCCCACAAGTACTGGTGTGTTTGGAAATTGCTGAGCTAACACCAACTAGTCAGACAGGTGCCGATGGCCCAAGCAGAAGATGAGTAAAAGCTAACAGGCACCTTTCATCAGCTGGCCTCCCCTGGAGCCCTGCTGGTAAAAGGAAGCAGGCAGGTGGAATAGTCAGGGAGAAGCATCAGGGGTGCAGAAAGGGAACTTGCATGCCTAGTGCTTTACACACTTTCATTACTGTTTACTCCTCCCAACACTGAGACCTTGCTCTACAGATAAAGTAATGGAGGCCCGTGACAGTGAGTGATATGGCCGAGTTCACACTTCCAGAACGGTGGTCGTAGAAGGACTCTAACCTAGATCATAAGGATTCTTTCTTCTGGGGCAGAGGACTAGTAGTAGTCAATGAGCCCATACCCAAAATAATAAAAAATAAAATTAAGTAAACATGCTACCATATCTTATAAAGTTTTCATATTTGTTCAAGATATTCACCCCTATTTCCAAATGATAAATAGGCAAAGGTTAAAGTCTTACATAAAATTCTTCCGATGTTTCTGGAGGTTCTGGAAGTAGAGAAGCCTTTGGTGGCAATTTGAGTTCATAGGTCATTATACTCCACCTGAAGGGAGAAAAATCTTTGGTCTGAAATTCCTTTAAAATTTAATAAACTGACTTTGTTCTCACCTCACGTATATACATGTGCACATATATGCATGAACTATGGTTTATTGTATCTAAGACAACCAAATATTGGGAAGGAGATGGATTTTGGTAATCTCATAAAATGCTGAAGCCATACTTTATGATGTCCATATCTTACCAATTCTCTGATTTGGGACTTCCAAACTTTTTAAAGGCCATGACCCATAGTAAGAAATGCACATATATAACAAAACTCTGCCTTCTTTACTAGTGCAATGCATTCTGATTTTTTTATTCTTTTCTGTTTCCCTTCTTAAATAATGTTCACTGCAACTGACTAACTAGATTACACAGGTTACTAATGGATCACAACCCAAAGTTCTAAAACAATGTCCCAGATTAAACAAATGCATAGTGCCAATGAAAGATAAATCACTATCTGTGTACCAACCAGTCTTGCCAAGTCAGCTTACACATACATGAAATGAAAATTAACTAAATATCCCTTCTTAAATTAAGAAAGTAAGCATGGGGTTGAGAAGAAAATATTAATAGAAATAACTGATTTCTTAATACTTGAAGCAAATTTATTTCAATTAGCTGTAAATATTAATTTCAAACCAAACACTGAATCACTTGGTGTTAAAGAAAAGCAATCAACTCCAGACAAATCCAGTCTTCATCCAGAATAATTTCAAAATTTGGGAAGAAGAGTTGGGTAGGGACATTACTATTGTCAGTAGCAGGATGTGAAATCAAGACTTTACAAAGACACAAAGCATAATAAAAGCAGTGCCGTAACACATGAGTTTTAAGAAAAACATATCACCGCTGAAGCCAGTGATAGAACCCAGGGGAAAATCCCAAGATTGGCATCAGTATCTAAACAGAGCCGAGTGTGTCATTCAAACTAGTAAGTCTTTGCATAAAAATCTGAATTCCCACAAAATCTCCCCCAAAGACATAGGTTGTATGTTAGGATGTATAAACAGAATACTTATAGCTACTGTTCAACTCTTGACATGAATATACTATCAAGGAATATATATTTGGGCACAAAAAGCCATTCATTCATTCATCCATGCAACAGACATTTATTGAACATCTCAACATGACAGACAGCATTCCATGGTCTGGAAACGCAAGGCTGACTAAGACTTTCCAAATGAAGTTTATATCCTGGTGCAGAAAACACATAAAATAATTAAACTCTGTAGATATCCAAAGAGGGAAAGCCACAATGGGAAACCTGAAAGTCAAGTTCCTTGTAGCTGGAAATACTACTCTGATCAAAGGACAGTTAAAGAAATGGGAAAGAAATCGACCCAGATATCTTAAGTTTCCTGCACCTTCCATGCTGTGGAGTCCCTTGATAGAAAATGGTTGGAGCTGAAGAAAGAGGAGAAAGTGGCAGGACAAGTCAAGAAAGGATGCATACTGGGACCAGCTAAGCAGAGTTAGAGGCCAGAAGGTTGGGCCCTCTCTGGTGCATATATGCATTAAGGAGGACAGGGTGCACCGTGTTGAAGAAAGATCTTGAGAACTAGAGTCTGGATTCCAGATGACAGTGCCAGTTAGTTCTACCACTTACTAGCTATGTGACACTGATAATATGAAAACCTCCTGAGCCGTTTTACCTGTAAGATGGAGATTACAATATTAGTCAGCTGTAGGTGTGTAGTGATGATTAAATGAGATAATACTTTCTCAAGTAAAGCAACTAGAAGTACCAGGCAGATGAAAAAATATTCTTCTTTTCATTGTCTCCACAACTTTCCACAAACTCCTCAACTTTCATCTTTGTAAAATAGTCGTAATAATGTTGTTCTTAGCCACCTGACAGTGCTGTTTTGAGGATCAAATCAATTGATAAAAGCAAAAAGCTTCTGTAATTCGAAAATATTAAACAGTGACTTTTTCCACCTGTTCTTTACCAACAGTGTTCTTAAATTAGTAAACAAAACACAGGAACAAAATATTCTTATGTTTCTAATGGTCGTAGGTTCTTGAGCCTCTTTTGATGTTTCTCTTCTGTTGTTGTGTGCAGGTCTGTATCAAAGACTTTCACCACAGGGGCACTGTTTCTCTGCAAGCCACCTGGAGAAGTTAATTTTTCTAACATACAAAGGAAAAGCACACACCCAGGGTGGAGGAAATGTCTAGCAGCATTTCCTGGGATGCAGCGAAAATGGTGTTTAAATTTGCAGGAAAAAGCCATTTAAAACACCTTGTGTGGTGTTTTAAGCACAGAATTGGGAAATCACCTCCAGGTTCTTTTAAAGACTGGAGACGGAATCCACTTTACGCACCCAAACTATGGGGGTATCCCTCTTAGGAATAGTTTTGGATAACCACAGACAAATGCTCTACAGCCCAGCTCTTTTTAAATATCCTGTCAGCAAAAGAACCAACCATTACATAACCTTATGACGGGCAAGGTTACAATTAATTAGGTTATAGCTCATTTTAGAGTAATTACATTTTAGATTGGTAGCTCCCTGATGAGATTTTGTTATTTTCGGGAACAGTTCCACAGATGGCTAATCCTATCAAAGTTGTTTTGATTCATGCTAGCTTAAGTTTATAATGATATTTTGACATTTGTCTTCTACTTATGGTGGGGAGGGGTGGTTACTGCTTACTGAGTCCTGTTGTTCCTAAATAATCCCCAGTCCTACCCACCTTCTCTGTAACACTCAGGGTACACACACTGTGATTTCTGTTTTATACATGGCGACATTTAGAGAGAAAGAAGTTGAGATGTGATCAAGGATACCATAAACACAGTAATCATTCCTTGATATGGCGTTCTTAATATTTCCCAGTCACTGGGAAAGGATTATCTTTTTTAGTATTTAGTTCTTTGTTGGTTCAACTCATTCTTAATATGCATAATTAAGAAGAGATAGTCTAACAAATCTCAAGTTTATACGTCTTCCTTAGCTTTAATGAAGCCAGAGGACAATGGGGCCATACCCATTATAGCCATCAAAAGCCCCCACACAAAATGAACTGCTTAAGCTTTCTGACCTGAACAACAATGAAAAGTAATTGCTCTCTCAGCATAGCGTTCTATTTTTAAAATAGTGGGTTCATCAGACTGGTTTTCTCAGTTTTTGTTACAATTCATTCATTCACCCCAAAAATATATTTACCTATGCTGGGCTCTGTTCCAGACCTCAGGCGTGACACGAATGGGTAAGACCAGGAAATCTCTGTCCTCACTGGGCTTACAGGTTGTAAAATTTCAACTGCCAAAAATGTCAGTATGCCATTTTCAGTCTAGTGTTAGATGAAAATTCACTTTTACCTGTCTAGCATTTTGGTACTGGCTCGTTCCAGCTTCTCTAGTATCTGAGGAAGTTGGGTGTCATCATCATAGGAACCGCCCCAGCCTAGAACGCGGGCAAGGTCATTTCCTGTACCCAAAGGCAATACGCCCAGCTGACACTGAAAGAGAGCACAACAGGGAGACCTCAGGCAAGCTGAGAAACCGGAGCTATGATACCTCTGTGCTCCAATGGTCAGCAGGTTAGTACACATTCATGTCAACGAGTCATGAAAAGATTTAGTACTTGCCTGTTTATTCAAGTTGAGCTTATCAATTTCTGACAAAACCCAACCCACACTTCCATCTCCTCCACAAACAAGAATTCGGAAGTTGTCGAACTTTTGGAATAATCTTAAACTGAAAGCAAAAAGTATTTTATTTTAATATAAATAAATAAAAATCATTTCCCCAATTCTTTGTTATTCTGTATATATTGGTATGCATGTTCAGATCAAATATAAGAACACTTACTTACATATTAATTATACTATAAAAACTGAAGTGCAATTTTTAACTCAAGAAAACGTCTTAATCATAAAGAGGAAAGGGGATTATAAGTAGAAATGGAGATAAAATTAGGAGGGAAGGGGGGTGAGAAATGAGAAAACAAAGAAGCAGAATCCAGGAAAGAGAATGAAAGGTAAGTGATAAAGCATGGTAAAAGTGGTGATTTTTTTTTCTTCCCATTACAAGGATATGTTATTTCCTTAAGAATAGCATATTACAAACCAGGGGTGGAGAATCTAGGGCACTGATATTACTGACAATCAAGTCAGTTCCTAAAGGGACCCACCAAACCTTGCCGACATATCACTTTTCGGACACCCACCTTGCTTTTCCTCCCCCTCATCCCCTAGTCTGGGTCAGTCTTTTTACCTCTGTCTTCCTTCGTCTTAACTTTGGACATATCCCACCACCTCCTGAATGTACCTTCGTGCACCTCGAGTACTGTGGAAACCCTATAAAATATGTTATAGAGACAATCTCAAGAAGTTTCACAAAGGGTCTGCCTTGGAATCATAAAGGACGGGTGGGAAAAGTAAATGTAAAGAATTTAAGATATAGGAACTATGAAGGATTATGAAACAGATGTGCTAGAAGGGGAGACACAGCTAACCCCAATACAAGAGACACAGGTGAGTGGAGAGGCCAGGTGAGGAAGTGCCAGGACCCAAACAGGGGGAAGGCGTGTACAAGGAGACATAGGGGGCGTTGGGAAAGGATGAAGAAGACCAACATCCATGGGACCAGAGGGCCTGAGACTTGGCAAGAAGGCAATAGAAACAAGAAGAAAGAAACCTAAAGAGCAAAAGTGAACAGAGGCACAAAGTGAGGCAAGCGAGAGAAAAGGCGGGAAAATGTTAAATTAAAAACCCAGGGCCTCTTCGGGGTATCTAAAATCCCCATTTTTACATCTGTGTTCACGCTTTAAGGTGACCATGGAACCCAAGAGAAAAGTGGAGTTGGCAGAAGTAGATCATGAAGAGGTTGCAGGAACCCGGGTTCAGGTGATCCAATATCACCTCTTCAACAAAGTCATATATACACACTAAAAATGTATTAAAAGTACCTCAAGGCATATTTTCCCTCACTGAAAATCGTTTAATTTTTTTTCAGATTGTAAGTTAGAGAACATTCCAGAAAGCTGAAAAGAACAATCAACACCAGTGTTTTTTGTCATTCATATAGGAATTGAGTCTCAAATCCTTGAGGAGCTGTCCTTGAAACCCACAGTAGTGTCTATGCTTTGGTTAAATAACTGATTATTTGTATTACATAAAAATCAATGCTAGCCTTCCATGCAGATCATTTTCTAAAGTTACTGGTTATTTCTGTATTTACCCAAGTTGATTTTTCTTAGAGCTAAGCAAACCTTTAGTATTGTCTGATGCAGAATATATTCTAAAACATTTTCTAAACAAATTTTGGGATTTTCAGCACATAAGGAAGTTATATAAATATCAAAAGGTGAAGTTAAAATTTAGAATTAGAGCTTTAAAAAAAGGAAGAGTGGGAAGATCAATACAGAGATGTCTAGATGGATCGAAAGCCTTCACAAACTGAAAAATCAAACACATTTCATGCTTAGCACTATTTCATTCTAATGAGATTTATCAATAATTAATTACCCTAAATGAGGACCTCCGTTCATTAAATCAAACACCTGAGCCGGATTTAGCAACTGTTTAAATCGACGAAGGAACTTTACTCCCTGATTATCTCCACTCTTAGAATTGACAAAAACCAACAGAGGACTAACACAGAATGAAAATGTCGCTCTACAGAAACCTGTAAAAAAACACAGTACAGGATTAATATGAACAGCTGTCTCTTTTAAACTATTGATAAAACTTCAGAGAAAAGAACATAAATTCACAAAGAACCTTGTTTATTACTTGTACAGTAAATTATAATTTAGCCCCCCAAATGGAGATAGGTTTTATTTACATACTAAGGCTATAGAACTTATCTTTTAAAATATGCTCTACAATGAAAAATCCTACTAAAGATGGTAAAAGTATTAATCATAGATAATTGAAGATACACCACCTACCTTAACAACACCAATGACGTCTATAAATTCACATTTGTCAAAGAATTCATGTTCATATTCAGTATTTTAAAATGTTTTAACTTTTCCTTCATGAGGCTTTAGAAAATACTTTAAAATTTATCATAAATAATAGAACCTTGATTTATCGGGGATTGGGGGGAGGTCTGTTAACAGCACAGGTTAAAAAATCACATCTTTTGCAGCCTGTCCTTGTATTTATAATATCTATTGGCATAATTTACATAAAAAGTTTGAAAATCATAAAGCACTTTATGCAAAACTTTAATAACAGTATATGGTGAAAGCCTTTTGTAATTTGGTTTGCTTAGAAGGAAGACAAGTTCTTTAGCACTTAGAATCAAGTTGTAAGATTCTCGAAAAAGTGATGGAGTTTATAGGAATATAAGTTCCTCCAAGGAAATTATAGGAAAACAGATTTCAATAAGAGCTATGCTGATGGGCAATTTCAATTATGGATGGAAAAAAAAGCACATAAAAATTAACCTTTTTGGATTGCATTTTGTTATAGAATAATGATCTTATTTTGTTTGCTGAAATGTAAAATCTGTAAGTCTTATATGTAATTTCACCAGTGTATTAATAGCTATGTTAAGTTTTAATTCTAAAATGTTCTTTTAAAAGTTAAATGTACTGTTCAGCAATTTGAATGGACTTAAATAAAAGCTGACCAGAATAACCAATTACAGTTCAATTTAATCTAGGAAAGTAAATGTACAAATCAACATTTAATATACCAGGAATATACATATTTACACTACTGATACATACCATCAGAATCAGTGCTATTCAGTGCAATTGGAGGTATGATGGACACTTTACATTGGCCAAGGGGACACACAGGATGGTATAAATCTTTGCAGGCAGTGTGTACCTAATAACAAACAAATAAGCCTTCAAGAATCATAAAAACACATCAATGTTTTATTATGGCATAAATTACATCTATGGAACTGATCATTGAGGATCGACTATATCACAAAATATTCAGTAATTCATAAATTACTTTCATGGCACAACATTTACAATGCTAAAGAATGGGTTAATTATTTTAGAGACGGGAATTTGATTTGGTCTGTGCAGCCTACTTTTATGATTGTCTCAGGCAAGTAGTGTATATCAAGAAATGCCTTCTGAGTGGAATCTGGCTGGCTCAGTTGGTAGAGCATGAGACTCTTCACCTTGGGGTTGGAAGTTCAAGCCCTACACTGGGTGTAGATATTACTTTAAAAAAAAAAGAAATGCCTAGTGAAGACCAGGAGAGAAGAAGGGAAGAGAACAGAGTGCAGAGGAAGAGAGGGGAAAGAGGAAGTGAGGAATGAATGGAAGGAGGGAGGGAGAGGAAGAGAAAGGAGGGAAGCTAACTAGTCCTTACCAATAGCATCGTCCATAAAAAAACTGATGACCTCTACCTTATAACATTCTTACAGAATTTAATGAAAATAAAATTTGTAATGTGTCTGCTTTTTCTGCAGTGGTCCTATAACTTTCTATTCACACCTTTTTTTTATATATAACATTTTCATGTTCCATAGGTACAAATACATGCGTGCCTATTTTCTCAGCTAGACTTCTGGCTCTGTAAAGAAAAGGAAAAGGTCCTATTATTGCACAAGTGATATATATCATAGGCACTCAGTAAAGGTGTGAACTTCATAGAAACAAAAATTTCAAGGTCAGTCAAGATACTATTGTGAACAAGAGCAGGGCTAACGCATTACATAGAATCCAGGGAATTTACAATACTTTAGGTACTTACCTAAAGAGCCTTGAAATGTTTTAAGCAGTAAAAGCAGACATTTCATAAAGAACTTATTTAATACGGCTTTATTTCATTAGTCCTTTTAGAAAACTGGCATATTAATTAAACACCTATTTATCAAAACTTTTGAGAAAATAACTGAAATTAAATAGTGATTCTTGTTTGCTGGTGACCTAATTTTGGATAGTTCTCTATAATCATTTATAATAATTAACATCCTAAATGGATTTCAAAAAAAAAAAACCCACAAGCATGCACAGATAGTTTTAAAAGGAATATTAGAAAGGTATGAGAATTACAGAGCAAAACAGAAAAATATTTATATCAGTGTTAAATGAAAAAAAGCAGAAGATAAATTGTATCTTCACTATTTTTTACAAAAAATGTAAAACTGTATCCAGAGACTGGACAACAACTGGAAAAATTGACTCATTAGAGTTGTGGAACCATGGTCTTACTTTATTCTGTTTAAACTACATGACTGTTTTACAAACTAGATATTCTGTCAGAAACTCATTATTTTAAAGACAAAATAATATGTAAAGAGGTAAGTGATAGTGCATAGGAAGTACAACCCCAAGAAAGAGGTGACAAGGTGTTGGTGGCCTGCAAACCTGAATGTCCAACGGACATAGTGTAGGGCAGGAACGACTTCATGATAAGGTGATATCTAAGTTTGCCAGAAAAAAGAGGGAGAAGACATTCCAGAATGCCCCCTTCCACATCCTGTATTCATCTTTCTATACTGTTCGTGAAATTTTTAAAAGGTGGGAGGGAGTAGAGTGAGCAAGTAAATATCTAATGAACTCCTACTGTGAACGTTAGCAAAGCTGAAAAACGACTGATCAGATACAAGTAGAGACCTATGTACTGCAGGTAGAGACAACTTCTATAAAACCTTTCTAAAGTAGCTGATCACACACATAATCTGCTTTCTTTTTAAAAAGTTAGACGAGAACAGCTGAAGTTCTAGAGGTAGAGAAACAGAGGTACATGTAGACTAATGAAATTAGCTGCAGACGCACACATCAGTGGATGCCTCCCTGAAAAGAAATCTTACGTGGGATGAAGTTTTAAAATGTTTATGGGAGCACTTTACTTACTTATTTATTTATAACATTTTTATCTTACAGGCCTTTTGGGAGCACTCTTAAAATAAGGAATGCCAGGAGGCCACCTGGGTGGCTCAGTCGGTGGACTCTTAATTTCAGCTCAGGTCATGATCTCGAGAGTCCAGAAATCGAGACCCATGTCGGGATCCGCGCTCAGCGGGGAGTCTGCTGGAAACTCTCTCTCTTCCTCTCCCTCTGCCCCTCCCCCAACTCGCGCACACACTCTCTAAATAAATAAATAAATAAATAAATAAATAAAATCTTTAGAAATAAATAAATAAATAAAATAAAATAAGGAATGCTGGGGCACCTGGCTGGCTCCGTCGGGAAAGCGTGTGACTCTTGATCTTGGGGTTGTGCCCTAAGAGGGTTTTAGGGGTTACAGTTTCACCAAAACTCCAAAGACATATCTAATACAGTCTATATATTATATTACAGGGCATCAGAGAAATTAGAAGTAACGCCTGTGGCTGATAAAAGGGGCAACTGACGAAGAATAACAAAAGCATGAGGTTAGAGAGAATCACACTTGATTTAAAAATAAGAAGGAGAGCGCCTGGAGGGCTCCTTAACCAGTCATTAAGCATCTGCCATGACGCGTATCCCAGGGTCCTGGGATCGAGGCTCCGCGGGAGGCCTGCTTCTCCTTCTCCCACTCCCCCTGCTTGTGTTCCCTCTCTCGCTGTGTCTCTCCCTGCCAAATAAATAAATAACATCTTAAAAAAAAATACGAAGGAAACAGATTACCTATCAGGCCCAACTAAAAAACTGCAGGACTTACTGTTTCCAGTGGAAAAAAATGGAATTAATCTCACCAATTATGAAATCAAAACAGCATACTCACATCATTTTCATTTGATGATCTGCATCATACTTACTGAAAGAAATGAGTTTTCCACCTTTTTTGGGGGGTGAGGCGTGACTTCCAAGATGCAACACAAGACCAAACAAATCAGCCCAAAGCAAGGCGATCGCTGTCACTGTTGGACGGCATCGCCCACTGCTGAGACGAGTACCCACAGCTGTTGCCTACCCCCCTCCAGTACGGTGAGCACCGTGCCACCCTCTGAGCGGCCTGAGTTCACCCTCGGAGTTCCTGCTCTGACTGCCCGCATGAAGCCTCGGGCCCGGTGCTCACGCAGTCCGGCTGGACGGGACCATCCCTTGCCATCAGCTCTGTGTCATGCCGTGCGTACTTCTCATTGCTTTCTTACATGTGCGAGAAAGTTTTAAAATATTTATCTATATAATATAAATGTATCTAATTCCAGTTATACCAGTGCGTGGCTGACTGAACGAGGCGTTCTGTCAGAGAACGTGAGCAGGGTTGTATTAAAATTATACTTCGCACGTCAATCAAAATTTGGTGGCTTTCTGGGTTTAATGGGTGGTAAAACAGGGCTGAAAACAGTAAACCATTAAATGTGGCTACAGCATAATGAAAAACAGCAAGAGGGCATTACAAAAAGGATACTTAAAAAGTAACCAGACTGGAAGGAATATACTTCGAAAAAGATGAATGTTGCGATGAGTACGTATGCTACCCTGCTCTGTTAGACCATAAGTTCTTTGCCCCTAAATCACGTGGATTAAAACAAATATATGAAAAGAATTAGAAAGGACTCTCACCATCGTTCTACACCAAAGGCATTTCCAATCTTGTAGACGCAGGACACTCCCACAGGTTTTGTCACATACGGCGCATTTGGCACTGACGGGCAGGTTACCCTCGAGCCACTGGTGTGGCATAGCTAGCTAAGCAGCAAGAACAAAGAGCAGGCGGATTAGAGAGCGGGGGACACCATCCTTACCCAGGGGAGGATCTACGATCATGTCTCACTCAATGGAATCAAGAGATGTACCTATCACTCAGGGCATCCATTCAGTTAGTCCACATTTATTGACCATTTCTTATGCCCCGAGCACCGTAGGGATACAACAACAAGTAAGACTAAATCCCTGACCTTCAGGATGTGAAGTCTAATTGAGGAGCAATGAAGGTAAAGGCATTATCATAAAGCGATGACAAAGTGCTATCAGAGGTGCGTATGCAAGGTGCAATGGAGACAAGGTTTTGAAGGTGGGGGGACACTGTTGAAAGGAGGCCCCAACGTCTAAGGAGTGAACATCCAAATAGACACCCGAGCTAAGCCTTAAAGAGTATCTTACCTGTCAGGTAAGGGTCTCCAACACCAGCCCAGCACAGCAACCATTGTTAAGCCCTATTCACATTTCCCTCAAAATTTAAGAGCTAAAGGAAACTATGAAGGCTCTAACTAGAAAGAGAAACTCATAATTAACCAAAGCCTTCCATTTAATCCTACTAGTAAATACTCCCACTTAACTCTGTCGTTTTCCACAGGGCAAACAATAAAAGGGAGGTGGTACTGGGAATAAACCAAAGACAGAACTGTGCTTACTCCATCTTCATCCTCTATGATGTCCTTCCCGATGGAGGCCAGAGTCGTCCATTTGCAATTATTTGTTGCCCTCACTGCACATCTTTTGTGAGCCTTGAATTTACACACTAAAAAAAAAAAAAAAGTCAACCATTTCTAAATGAATATATACTTTTGGAACAATGATTAGAGGAAATCACAGCATGAAATTTCAAGGGGGGGGGTAGAAGAAAAACAGTAACTTAAAAAGTTTAAATTACTCTTCAACAATAATAAAGGTATTCTGAAAATACCTTTTCAGAAGATATTCATGTATTTATGTTACATGTGGCTATGTATTTATGAAACACTTTTATCAATCTATAGATTGCTACCTAGATTCCACTCGCTCACAAATAAAACAGAAAGGAAATAAATACAAAAGAACTAGTTCTTCAGGAGAAAGGAGAAAACACACACACACAAACACAGAACTAAATAAAATTCAGTAATACAGAGCTGCTGGGAACATCCTATTTCTTAATCTGGGTGTTGATTACATAAATGTTAAATTTGTGAAAAATCCCACAAGTTGTACTCCTCTGATATTTGTATTTTTCTGTACATATAATATATTTAAAATAAAAAGTTTGAAAATATCAGTAAGATAAAGAACAGGATAATTTGGAAGTGTTTTAAAATGCAACTATGTCAAGAAAATATCCAGTTGTGGGAAATAGATCGAAAAAGGTCACATATGGCACTGTTTTTTAAAAGTATTACTGTTGGGATCACTACATTATAATGTAGAAGAAAATAATAATGAAGAAGTACATTACATCCATCACTAATCCTCTAGGAGGAGGAGCCTCTAAAAGAGACATAAGAGACACTGAAACTTATAAGACATTAAGGGAAAAAAATTGAAGACACAAATAAATGGCAAAACATCTCATGCTCATGAATTGGAAGAATTAATATTGTGAAAATGTCCAGAGTACCCAAAGCAATATACAGATTCAATGCAATCCCTGTCAAAATTCCAATGGCATTTTTCAAAGAACTAAAACAAATAATTCTAAAATTTTTATGGAACCACAAAAGACTCTGAATAGCCAAGGCAGTTTTGAGAAAGAAGAACAAAGTGGAAGGTATCATACTATGTGATTTGAAACTATATTACAAAACTATAGTAATCAAAACAGTATGGTACTGGCATAAAAACCAGACACATAGATCAGTGGAACAGAAGAGAGAGAATGGACACATAGATCAATGGAACACATATCTTTATGTGCAAAAAGATAAAGCTGGACCACTACCTTACACCATACATAAGAGTTAACTCAAAATGGATTAAAGACTTGAACCTAAGACCTGAAACCATAAAACTCTTAGAAGAAAACTCCCTGACAGCTAGCTCCTTGACATCAGTCTTGGCAATGATTTTTTTGGGTCTGACACCAAAAGCAAAGGCAACTAAACAAAAATAAACAAACAGGACTACATTGAATTAAAAATTATGACACAGCAAAGGACGCCATCAACAAACTGAATGGGAGAGAATATTTGCAAATCATATATCTGATAAAGGGTTAACATTCAAATTTTACAAAGAACTCATATAAGTCAATGGCAAAAACCAAGCAATCCACTTTAAAAATGGGCAGTGGACCTGAATAGACATTTTTCTAAATAAGACATACAGATGGCCAACAGACACATGACAACATACTCAATATCACTAATCATCAGGGAAATGCAAATCAAAACCACAATGAGATAGCTCCTCATACCTGTTAGGATGGCTATTAGCTAAAAGACAAGAAATTACAAGTGTTGGCAAGGATTTGAAGAAAAGGGAACCCATGTGCTCTGTTGGTGAGAATGCAAATTGGTGCAGCCACTCTGGAAAACAGTATCGAGTATCCTCAAGAAATTAAAAATAGAACTATCACATGATCCAGCAATTCCACTTCTGGGTATTAATCCAAAGAAGATGAAACCACTAATTTGAAAAGATATTTGTAGGGCACCTGGGTGGCTCAGTTGGTTAAGCGACTGCCTTCGGCTCAGGTCATGGTCCTGGAGTCCTGGGATCGAGTCCCACATTGGGCTCCCTGCTCAGCAGGGAGTCTGCTTCTCCCTCTGACCCTCCTCCCTCTCCTGCTCTCTGTCTCTCATTCTCTCTCTCTCTCAAATAAATAAATAAAATCTTAAAAAAAAAAAAAGATATTTGTATCCTCATGCTCATTATAGCATTATCCATAATATCCAAGATATAGAAACAACCTAAGTGTCCCTCAATGGTAAACGGATAAAGAAAATGTGGTATCCATATGTATATCTACACAATGGACTATTATTCAGCCATATAAATGAATCACTTAAGACGACATGAATGGACCTAGAGGATATTTTGCTAAATTGAAATAAGTCAGAGAAAGACAGATACCTTATGATCTAACTTATATGTGGCCTGTAAAAACAACAACAAACCCACAAAAAACCCAGCTCATAGAAACAGAGAACACATTGGTGGTTGCCAGAGGCAGGGGGAGGGAGGTGGGCCAAATGGGTGAAGGGAGTCCAGAGGTCCAAACTTCTGGTTATAAAATAAGTAAGTCATGGGGATGTAATGCACAGCATAGTGAGTATAGTTAATTACACTGTACTGAATACTTGAAAGTTGTTATGAGAGTAAATATTAAAAGTTCTCATCAAAGGAAAAATATCTGTAACTAAGGATTGGTGACAGACGTTCACTAGATCTATTTGGGTAATCATTTTACAATATATACAAATATCAAATCAAAAACACAAGAGAGAGGGAGAAATAAGAGGAAACAACCAGGAAAGAAGCAGCTCATATATGAAAAACAAGTAAACCACAGATTATTTGAGAAATGAACTCTTACTTATAAATCAGAACTTGACTACTGCTAAACTTCTTTATCCTTTTAAGGATACAAATTATCCAAGCATTGGTGGATAAAGATGTTATACCAGTTTCTGACTTTTCAGATAAATACTTAAAAGTAGAGATCACTTCAGTGGAAATTTAAGAAGGTAACTGCTCCTAAATCCTACATGTAAGGTGTCTCCTTTTCACGTGATTTTTGCATTTCTTTTTTTTTTTTTTAAGATTTTATTTATTTATTTATTTATTTGAGACAGAATGAGAGAGAGAGAGAGAGCACATGAGAGGGGTGAGGGTCAGAGGGAGAAGCAGACTCCCCGCCGAGCAGGGAGCCCGATGTGGGACTCGATCCAGGGACTCCAGGATCATGACCTGAGCCAAAGGCAGTCGCTTAACCGACTGAGCCACCCAGGCGCCCCGATTTTTGCATTTCTAACTGTAAACCGTTAACAGGTTTGAAATGATGTGTTGCATGCCATTGTTTTAAAAAGTCCTAATTTGGGGCGCCTGGGTTGCTCAGTCGTTAAGCGTCTGCCTTCGGCTCAGGTCATGGTCCCAGGGTCCTGGGATCGAGCCCCACATCGGGCTCCCTGCTCGGCAGGAAGCCTGCTTCTCCCTCTCCCACTCCCCCTGCTTGTGTTCCCTCTCTCGCTATGTCTCTATCTGTTAAATAAATAAATAAAATCTTTAAAAAGTCCTAATTTAACATAGCATGCAAATGAAAGGGTCGGGTAAAATCACTGAGTGTCTATAGCCAAATACTCAAAATGCTTCAGGATGTCATGGAGAGCCGATATGCAAAAGGTCACTTAAGCTGAGCTAGTTTTTCCTTGAAAAATATTAGTCTAGACATTGGAAAATTTTCATTTAACTGGTCTTTTGTGTATACTGGCAAATTCTTTCGGAAATCCTACTATTTTTGTTATAAATGACTTTGGGACTCGAGCACATACTTCATAGAGAATAAACCGGTTTTTCAATGGACTCTCATTACTGATAGACAAATGTATAAAGAGCGAGCACCACAGGAAGTAAGCTTAGTCTGAAAAACAATTTTAGCATGACCTGCTCCCTTTTGCTCCCATACAAGTGACTATTTTAAAATTGAGGTTAATTAGTAACTCTAGGTTTTTCATCTCTTATGGTATTTCTCAAAAGTGTGGTCCTAGTTTTAGTTTTATCTGCAACGTAATTCCCAGGCTGCTTTTTAAGTACAAGGAAGTATTTGAATTAACAGTCAATAACTGTTTTTTTAAGAGGCAAAGGAGTAAGTAAAAGAGAGCAACAGGGAATGATTTCATGGCTTTTTGAAATTTTGCCATTAAAAATCAAACAGCTCATTAAAAATAAAAATCATACTTGTAATAATAAAGTGCTTCATGAAATGAGTCTTGAAAATTACGAAGTTGCTTAATGTAGCATACAATAATAATAAAATAAACCAAACTGTGATTACAGTCACTAAGGAATGGAAATGATTAATAGGCACCTTAATTTTGTTAGGCAACAATTAGATTTCTCCAAATAAGTTATTCTGAAATAAAGCACTTTTCCCTGACCTATAAAGCCATTATTTTAAAACCCAGAACTTAAAAAAATATACTGACATGTAACAAAGTTATTTTTAATTGCAATTTTCAGTCCACCACATTGAATCTTTGTTAAGTATTCAACAGTGGCTAAGAGAAAAATTCATAGGTACCTATGTTAACATATTTGATGCTGTTGATTAAAAAAGAAAAAATCACCATTTAATTTTTTTGTTCAGTTACTGTTTAAATAACTGTGAAGAACAATTATGCTCTGAAATCATAATTAACATTCTTAGGGAATTATTTATGAAAAGTATTTTCCATCTCCTATTTTTCATTCATATACTTTACATATGCAAGGCTTTAAAATAACAATTTTAGTAGTTATTCAACACAAGCCCGGAAGCCAAATCAGTACAGGCTTGTTGAAGGGCAGAAAGATTAAGTAAATTTAGTGATGGCTTCACACATTGGAAACTGAATTCCATTCCAATACAAAGTTATTCCTTGTCACTGTTGGAACGAATTTTTCTTGTATTTGCATCTCTGTTATATCTTCTAAAGCCTGTTGTATCCTATGTCCTTTGCTTTTATCAAGCAAGCAGTTTATTCAGATTTGGGGGGAGTTTCTAAAGTTTAAGTATAACTTGGATTACAAGAAAATGATCCTGAATAACCACATTCTCACAAAATAAAAAGGTAGCTTCTTGACACATTCATAAAACCCTTGGGATTTTTAAAATCTTCTGCTACAGGGCGCCTGGGTGGCTCAGTTGGTTAAGCGACTGCCTTCGGCTCAGGTCATGATCCTGGAGTCCCGGGATCGAGTCCCGCATCGGGCTCCCTGCGCAGCGGGGGGTCTGCTTCTCCCTCTGACCCCCCCCCCATGTTCTCTCTCTATCTCATTCTCTCTCTCAAATAAATAAATAAAATCTTTAAAAATAAATAAATAAATAAATAAATAAATAAATAAATAAATAAATAAAATCTTCTGCTACAGTCCTAACAATACCAATGGGCAAGACACCACAGATTTAAAATTTTTATCAGCAGAGAAAATGAATACTAACATATATTCCTCTAAAACTCTAATTTAAAAATACAATAACTGAGACATTAAAAAGTCAGGAAGACTTCATTATTAACAGAATAATAACAAAGTTATTTAAAGACTTTAAGTTTCTTATTCTCATTGGCTAATGCAATTTTCATTTTTCTTCTAAAAGGTTAGGAAAAATACTTAATCGTCCCAGTTTAAACTCAAGACACAAACAACTAAATATATTTAATAATGCATAACTCTCAAATCAAAAGAGTACCACAGAGTATCTCAGATCTGATATCTTTTTAAGCACTTTTGGAAGGAGAGGCCAGGAGGCAGCTAAAAAGACCTTCAAAATAACATCTCAACAGTATTACACACTTGGTAAGAGTAACTCAGAGCTTCAGGAATCCCTGTAGATTACTAAAGTCATAAAGAGCAATTACACCTTGTTTGCAACCACTCTTAAAATCTATAAAAAAAAAATGTGTAATGCCTCTTCCAAATGTTCATTTTCATGAATTTTAATGCCTCAGGCGATGATGTAATCTGCAATTATTTACTTGATGGATTTCTAACAGAGCACAATTACAAACTTCCACAATTTCTTTGACTAGAAAAGTAGTTTCCTTGTATATATTCTCCCATTTAATTTTCATAGTGTCTGTGAGATATAAATGACTATTATCCCCGTTTTGCAGATGAGGAAACAAAAGTCAAAAAGAGTGGAGCTCTTTCTCCTGGTCACCGTTTGTAACACTGGGAGTGGGACCAGAACCTGGAGGGTGAAACTGAGGAGCTCTGTTCTTCACCTCTGTGCTCTATCATGCTAAATCGCTGAAATTACGACATATCTCAGATTTGATACCTTAAAATCAATGAAAACTGGGACTCTATTACTAGTTTATTATTGAAGTATAATAAAGTTATATTCAAAATTAAGATTCTTTTGTATTTAAGAGAAAAAGGCTAGTATTAGTATTAGCTCTAGTTCAGAAAGTAGAACACAGTAGTGTGGTCACAGAGGTATGGAATTAAATAAATCTGAAGACGTTATGAGTTTTCCTTTGGTAATTACTAGTATATTTGCTTCTACTGGTCACTGCTTTTTTATTAAAAAAAAAAACCCACAAATCCTATAACAAAAACAACAGCCTTGGGCTTATTTTTAGAAAACTTTAAAGAATTAAAAAGGATGGTATCCATTTAAATTAAACATAAAGTGAAGTAAAAGAAAACATTTAAAATAAGGAAATAGAAATAACAAACGGAAATTCTGTCAAAGAGTCTGTACAGTCCTCACCGAAACTTTTAATCAGTCAGAACAGAAAAAGAAGACTAGAAAACCAGAAAGACAGATAAAGTCTAAAGATGTTTTTTAAGCAGTAGGTGCTAGTTCCTCAGGAGTGAAATGCTACGTCTTGATTTATACTTCCTTCTCGATGATTTGTATCATCCTTCCCTCAGCAAAAATATTTCCCAAGTTAGTCCCATGTGTGCAGAGCTCCACTCGAAGCTACGGTAAAACGGAAATGCTATGTTCCCGCTGAGGTGCTCCCACCTCCTGCTTCCACCCGTGCTGACGTTTCCCTGTTCGGATGGCAACGGGTTCCCTGTGTGGTCGGTGCTGAGGGAGAATGCGGGCCACGGGTACTTACCTTCGCAGGACAGGCCATGGGAGGTGACTCCAGAAAGACTCTCTCTGCACACGTTACAGAAAGTGGGTCGTGCATGGGAGCAGGCGTACCAGTTATGCATCCCTGAGAAATGTTCCACGTTAAATTGGGCCACCTAGAAACGAGACGTTAGCACAGATTTGCCAAGCAAGAGAACAAGACGACAGATAGTGAACCTCTGGGATGCATTTAGTTAGGATTAAAATTTCAAATCTGTAATTTTTAAAACGAAAACACGTTAAGTAAAAAAAAAAAAAAGTCAATATCAGATGGAAGCAAGTTGCTTAATGAATCTACACATACTTTTCTTTGCAGAATAGAGCCTTAGCTCTTCGGTTGACATTCCTTCTCTGAGAACAGGAGGCGCCGGAAGAAGATGCTACTTTACCTCGTAAGGTTCTCTGGTCTGTACAGACTTCAGTGAGCTCATCCAATCCTCCATCTCCTTCCTGTTCTCAGCGCACAGCATCAGTCTTCTGAATGGAGTGATTATCTGAAAGGGGTAATTCAATCTAATGATTGTTAATAACCAACAAGACAGATTATTGCCAAACCCAGCAATCAATCGTAAAAGGAAATTCCATTTCTAATCTCGGAGTCCTTATTTCCTTGATGAAGATAGTAAGAGTCTCTGTAATGTAAATGAGTTTAGTTCTCTGAGTACGATACAAGGGGGTCTAGTAAAGAAAAATTCTAAGGAGGCATTTCTTGTCTTTAATCTCATTGCTCCTTACTTAGGCTTTTTTTAGCCCAGTATCAAAGGCTATGAACCCAAATAAACAATGTACTCCTATTTCATGGAATGTATCTTGAAAATTGATTTTAAATATACTTCAGAATAGGGGCGCCTGCGTGGCTCAGTTGTTAAGTGTCTGCCTTCGGCTCAGGTCATGATCCTGGGGTCCTGGGATCGAGCCCCTATGGGGCTCGATCCTCAGCGGGGAGCCTGCTTCTCCTTCTCCCACTCGCCCTGCTTGTGTTCCCTCTCTCGCTGTGTCTCTCTGTCAAATAAATAAATAAATAAAATCTAAAAAAAAAAAAATATATATATATATATACTTCAGAATAATTCATAATAAGCTTGAATTCATACACAGTTTTCAACATGGAAATTTAAAAAACTGAAAACCAAAGGAATGCAATATTGAATGACTCATAATCCGTTCATGATAATATCACAAATATTCTGTTATTAAATAATGTTGGATTTACATATCCTTTCCATTGTCTATTTTAATATGATTTATTTATTTTTTTTTATTTTTTAAAGATTTTATTTATTTATTTGAGAGAGAGAGAATGAGAGAGAACACATGAGAGGGGATAGGGTCAGAGGGCAAAGCAGACTCCCTGCCGAGCAGGGAGCCCGACCGGGACTTGATCCCGGGACTCCAGGATCATGACCTGAGCCGAAGGCAGTCGCTTAACCAACTGAGCCACCCAGGCGCCCTATTTTAATATGATTTAAATATGAAGGATATTTTCCTCATTGTATAGAACTACTCCTTTTTAGTGCGAGCCGGGCAAAAGAATTAACATAAAAGTACTTCAGTTGGCTTTAAGGGGAGAAAATAATTGTAACTTTTATCTTTTCATCATGTCACTAAAGAATGCAAATTAATTGTATTAAGAGACTTAGGGCAAGTGAAATGAAGACTGCTGTTACAGCACCAAAAGTACTTCAAAGTGAGATTCTGAAATGACTTGAAAGAAGCCCCTATTTATGTGTGAATGCAGCATTCTCATTGTAATCTTGAAGTTGCTAACTCCTAAGTATTCACTGCAAAGAAGGGACCTTTTATTTACTTGTGTAAGAAGAGCAAACTTTACACACATACCTCGAAACTACCTCTAAATAATAAGTCATATACTTACTTACATAGCCAATAAGAAATTTTCTCAAGTTAGAAGCCATTTGATCAAGAGGTAATCTACATATTGCATTATGGAGCAGATTTCCGAAGTCATGAAAAAGCAATAATCATCTAAAAACAAAAGAAACTCTTCCCCTACTGAGTACACCTGCAAGCCTCAATCACTGCTGTCCATCTTAGGAAATAAGCCCATTATTCAAAACTACAGAGATCAGCCCAGTCTTAGCTACTCACCGCTCATTGCCTCCTTTTGTCTTTAGTTCAGACAGCACAATCCTTCCTTAAACCAAGGGTCCTTTCAGGCATCTGACAGGCACTCACACTTAAATACAGCCAGCCAGAAGTCACATGGAGGAGGCGCACCAACCGCTCAGCTTTGGGCATTTGTTAATTGCATATGAAATTGAACAGAACCTCACTTCTGCATTTTTTTCTGTTTTCCACCACCCCCTTTGGAAAAAGCTTATTAGCAGTTGGTCACTTCTCTTCCTGAATAAATAGTTAATGAAAGAGCACTGCCTCCCTCGTTACTTAGGAGCCAAATGGATGCTTTATTGCTTCAAAATGTTTTTCTAGGACAGCTCATCAAATGCAGCAGAAAAGATACCATTAAATCATAATACTCCCCTGGCTCTGACGACCGGCCTGGCACTCCAGAAACCTCCCAGTTTCACTGGACTGACTGAATAAATCTGGTATTTATTTGAATAAGTATCACTGCTAGCATTTCTTTTATTTATTTATTTATTTATTTATTTATTTATTTATTTATTTATTTGCTATACTATATGATGATAATGACAATGAGCTGCTCCTTAGAAGATATTGGAAAAATATCAACAAACAGATGAGGAAAAAAACTGCCCCCCCCCCCAACTGCACTGCATCTCATCTCACCCACAGCAGGAATATAAGATGGCAAAAGTGAAGTGCAGCAGACCCCTGTACAATACTGAAAGAGTCTGGCATGCCATCTCCCATTGGGTACCACGCTTAAACTATTCCAACAGAGAGTTTCTTCCTTTAACTCAGATTTTTGATTCTGCAATGAAGGAAACTCTGAAAACTTCTGTGGTAATTTTAAATGTTCAACAACTTTTTCCATTAAGAAATTCTTATTTCTAATCTAAAGTTCTTTACAACAAACTGATCATATTTGCCCTATTGCAGTCCTTGTTTTTCTTTTTAAACTATATGCAATTTACTTTACTTTCTTATTTTTTAAGACCAGCTTTATTGAAATATAATTCACAATACCATTCAATTCGTCTGCTTAAATGGTACAATTCGATGGTTCTTAGTGTATTTACAGCACTATAGAACCATCACCATCAACTATTTTAGAACGTTTTCACAACCCCAAAAAGGAACTCCCCATTTTCCCCAAAGTTGGCCCCCACCCCCAGCCCTAGGCAACAAGGTCTTAAGTGACTCATATGAGAGTAGAGATACTTACTTCTATATTTCAAACAGTAACCTGAGAACCTCTACATCCAAGAGCGTAGGTCCTCAACTACGAGTGTGCACCTGAATCAAGCCAAGAGTTTTTCCAAAATATAGCCAACCATGCTCCAAACCAGACTTGGTGTATCGAAATCTTATTTTGGAGGAAGGCATGGATAATTTCAGATGTAATCCGTAGTTTGGCAAAGCTTACAGGTGATTCTGATGCACATCTCTGTTAATCAGCCATGAAGGGTAGGATAAGCATCCAACTTTGCCATTAATCAAGTCAGGACCTGGTCTTAGGAATGTAAAGAAAGTGCTCTTAATCTTTACGGCTCCTTATCTCCCTTTTCAGCACTTTTCTTTTTTTTTTTTTAAAGATTTTATTTATTTATTTAATTGACAGAGAGAGAGAGAGAGAGAGACAGTGTGAGGGGGAACACAAGTAAGGGGAGTGGGAGAGGGAGAAGCAGGTTCCGGCTGAGCAGGGAGCCCGATGCGGGGCTCGATCCCAGGACCTCGGGATCATGATCTGAGCCGAAGGCAGTTGCTTAACCAACTGAGCCACCCAGGCGCCCCTTTCAGCACTTTTCTGCTCCCAAATTTCCAGTGTTCTCATCTGTCCCTAACAGTATTCCTTTATATGGGATCCATCGGAAAGAGCCTACCACCTACAGCACGCTTGTGATATAACAGAGGTCCCAAAATGATGATCTCTGATGTTTTTGTTTGGCCATTCTGTTTGAACCCTGCAGTGTTGTGTTGTAAAACCACAACAATGACAAGAAGTTAAGATCCATCCTTTTGGACACGTACTTTGCTCTTCAGGGTACAAGCAGCTTACACCTATTTTCTTCAGCTGGCCACTTCATACACTTACGTTACCAAGTGGCCGCTGGAGGCATTTGAGTTTGCAAGTCCTGCACAGACTGACTCCTTTCCTTTCTGGGGTCAATACTTCCTTATTTTCTCATCCAGTTGCCACAAGTCCCACCTATTTTCTAAGATGACAACTGCTGACCTAAAAGTAATTTTTTCTGAGGTGTTATAGATGATAAAGGTTCCATGCATATTTTCTCCTAGTGGTGCTTGAATTTTAATGGAAGACTAAGAAGAGTACCATGTCACAACAAATGCATTTTTGGCACCAAGACCAAAGAAAGAGCCAGATAGTATAATTCAAATCAACCAAATAACAGAATTTTAGATTAAAAAGAGACCCTATCATACTGATGTAATACCATAAACATTCATTATATCGCTGTAAACACTGTGGAATCTGCATTAAGTGCTCATGAAGAGAGTAGTTCCATAAAATCTGGGAGCACAAACTTAACAATATCTCAAAAGATGTAAAATAACATAGAAAGATGTAATGGACTAACGATAAGACTGAGGTTGACAATAATTCATATACACTCAAGAGCCTCATTATTAATCTACTGCTGGAATTTATAAAGAAATCCTGCTAGGCAGGCAGTGCACCATGTCAACAGGATCCTAAATCATATTGCTTGGAAGTTGAACTAAGGTCTTCCTATTCCCTTTCAGAAAGATCTACAAATCTTTTCAGATGTCTATTTTGAGCCATGTTTAGATTTATACACAAACACACACATACACCCTTCACTGAGAGTTAAAGAGGATCTTTGAAAGTCATTCCATCCTTCTGGTTTTGGCTGACTGATCATCTTTCCAATGGATGAGTCATTCTAGCTGAATAACAACTTACTGATCTTTGTGGGCATTCCTGTAATGTAGACTAGGGAGTATCAAACATGTACATAGGCTCTCAGAATAAAGAGGGAGGCATTAGTCATGACACAGGGAAGTCTATCCCATGCTGCTTATTTTCCTATCTAAGGAGAAGTTATTTATCATCGGTATATATAATATTAATTTCAAAAACTCAAACTATAAATCAAGGAACTACCTAAACTTTGGTATAAATAATTGATGGAGAATTCTGTAGCATATGAAACATTACTCATTTGTGACAAGATTCCACAAAAAAGTGTAAGTATTGACAAAATAGATTCTGATGGAAGTTTTTTGGTAAATATATAAAACTATTATTCGGAGAAATGTACTAATTATAGAAAGGAAAAAGACCTCTGGACAAGAGCAGAACATCTTTGCCAAGAAAATGTCTGTCTGCTTATCTACAGGAATA